CACCAGGTTATCAACAAGCCCTTTGCCTTTTCCTCAGCCCCCCAGACCTCTCACACTGGGGTTCCCCAGCCACCTCCTCACACTACAGCACCCAGTGCCAATCCTGCTTTAAACACCCCAACTTTGACTGAAGAGGCTTCCTTAGTGCATCATGAGCATAGATTTAAACAAGGTCACAATCAACAGTTATTACATTGGAGAAAAGAAGGTGCCAGTGTTTAAATTAAGACTCCTGCACCTTTGGTCTCAAGTCAGCTATGAAGTGGAATGAGCTGGGCCCAAGTTTAACACGCTGACTGGGTTGTACCTGCTCATTTCTCTTACCTCTGGCTGCACACACCACAAACAAGCCCTTTACAGAGTCTAAGAGTTTAAGTTCTGTGCCTCTCTCTGGTCTGCTCCCCCCTCTCAGGCAGCCCCAGAGCATGTTAGTGTTGACCTCCCACTACTCGGACAACCTGGGGATGCTTTTCAAGCTTCCAAAGGATGGATGTAGGTATTGCATATTCCTGTCTCCTTTTTTAAGTGAGAGAACTGCCTAGAAAAGTCAGTGTTCTGGTTGCTGTCAAGACAACTATTAAATTCAGAGACAAGTAGGACATGGGGGAAAAGGGTGGGAGAGGAGGGAAGGAAATCAATCGTAGGAGCAAACAAACTCCAGTAAAACTCTCGAGCTCTGCAGCTTCAAAGATGCATTTTCAGTTTTATGAGCCAGTGCTGGACCACAACTATGGTCTTGGCAGCAAAAGAGAAGTGTTGAAGAGAGTCTCATGTCCAAGGGGACCTGATCCACATAGCTCTCCTGAAGCGACTACATTTATTTCTCTCTCCACAAAGAAATCTGTCCCTCTCTTCCTCCAAACCTAATTCTACTGCTCCAAAGGTGCAACAGAACCCAGACTTCCCAATACCATAAGGGAAAGAAAAGGGCCCAAACCCATAATCTTGAAGAGAACAGACTTAAAAGTTTCAACATTCCTCTTTTGGCAAGTGTGACCATTCAAGTCCTACAGCTAAAGCAGCTCTAGCCTCAGCTCCTAACCCACCTTCAGCACCAGCCACCGGTGCCTACGACCCCTCCTGCTGTGCCAAGGCCAGCAGAGAGCTGGGTACAGGCAGCTAACGTTGTGCCCTGGTAAGGTGCAGGGGAAAGCAAGGCAGGAAAATGGAACTAGGCTGAAGGAGTGCAGCTGACAGCTGTCAGCATCCTCCTGGAGAAGCACTGGAGCAGTCTGGGGGAACTCCTGGGTGACTGGGCCAGTCTGTTACCAGCCCCAAGGAGGCAGGGATGGTAAACATCAACCAACATCCTTCAGGAAAGCTGGTGTGCCACTGCCAAACTGAATGACTCTACGAAGGGCAACTTCAGATGACTTCTGGACACTTTCCTCTCTGCCCGAGGAGATCCAGGCCCTTCATCACTGCCTTCCTCCTGCTTTTATTGACGTCGCTGAAAGGGCAGGTTTTGACCATGGCAATTTTCACAGTAGGCTGCAAACTTCCAGCAGCTTATAATTAGTTTTGTGCACATCCTGCAGCGAGGCACAGGGCCTGAAGTTACCTCAAACACCACTCCTCTCTGCTGTAGCACCAGAGACACACCACGAGGTGTTAAGGAAAACATAACAGATAGGAGCACAACAAGGCAGTGCTAGTAAAATCCAATGAATAGCTAAAAGAGCTGTGTCAGGCTCCTGTGATGAACCACATAAGCTCAGAAATGAGAACTGTCAGATTTTAAGGTCAGGATGAATGATGATGGTCATCTCATCTGACCTCCTGCATAGCACAAGGCAGAGAGCATCACCCAGCAACTCCTGCACCAATCCCACAGGTGCTGATTGAACTACTGCACACTTAGAAAAACTTGTAACCTTGATTAAAAACGTTCAAGTGACAGAGAATCACAGTTGGAGCATTAGGCACATTACCAGGTCTCAGAAGGACGACACGTCCACCTCCTTTAATGTCCTTAAACAGACTTCAGGGTCACTCAGGCTGGTTTCTGGCTCCATCCTGTGTGTGGCTGGATGCCAGCGCTCCTTTTTATATCTCTTGCTATCCAACTTCTCTAACACTCGAAGCAGGTTGATGTCTAACTGTGCTCTCCTTCTGCACATGTCAGCTTTAGACCACACATTCTCTTGCCACCTCCTGACCCGCAATCAACAGCGAAGAATAAATGCCAAAATTTGAGCTCAGGCTAAAGGAGGTCACATGCAAAGCTGTGCAAAGGCCACGCAGCCCACCAGCAGGAAAGAGGCCACAGTGAGCTGCTGTCCCAGCCCCAAGGGGAGGGGGAACCTCCTGCCAGCAGCAGCAGGGGGCAGGGAAGTGCCTGGTTCCACCATTGGTCTACAGTTCTCTCCTCAGGAACACAGTTCAGAGGAACACTTGGACAAGCCAGCTGCTGTGAAGCTTGTAAAGGACAAGGACTCTGCACCCTCCTGCTCCTCAGCAAGAGGCTGCTCTGGGTGTTCTTCAGTGTGCTTTGGGCTTGCAGTTTTGTTGGTTTGTTTTGTGAGGACTGGAGCAGCAATTCCTCACCAAGGCCTGACACAAGGCCACTCCAGAAGGCAGAGACTGTTGAGCAAGGATGTTACTGATGGCTGAAGATGAGAAACCCATTTCCCCATCCCTAGAAAAAACCCTCACGTCAACAATTCTTTTACCCCCTGTCCCAACAAAATGTAGTACTTTCCCCATCCCTAGAAAAAACCCTCGCGTCAACAATTCTTTTTACCCCCTGTCCCAACAAAATGTAGTGGGGACCCACCTCGTGTGGTTGGCAGCATGTCTGACAGCCCCTGCCAGGCCGTTACCATCTCTGGGTTCTTCTCCAGGTCTGCAAAGTTCTTCCACACTCTGATGGCACCATCATCTTGGGGAGCACAGAAAAAGAGAACATGGTGCAACATCTCGTAATTACTCATGCACAACAAAGGAGAAGAGAAGCAGGACCTCGTGTGGTTGGCAGCATGTCTGACAGCCCCTGCCAGGCCGTTACCATCTCTGGGTTCTTCTCCAGGTCTGCAAAGTTCTTCCACACTCTGATGGCACCATCATCTTGGGGAGCACAGAAAAAGAGAACATGGTGCAACATCTCATAATTAATTACTCGTGCACAACAAAGGAGAAGAGAAGCAGGAATTGAAGTCATTCAAGCTCCAAAACTGAGAGTGTTACTTGAACTTAATCCTTCTTATTAGGGTTCTTCCTGCCTAATCTTACACCCAGGACACCTAAAGAATTGTTCTACTGAGAACTGCTGTGGAAGAGCTTTTCTCCTTCCCTCCAATAGCACCTGACATTAGATGTCGCTCCGTTTCTTTGTCACGCTCATTTTCTCCAGGGTTTGTCTCTGTCCTTGCTATTGGTGCTGAGAGCCACAAAAGCACCTTACTAAACACAAAATAGAACCCCACAGAAGAAGATGAATCACAGCCCAAACCATCAGCAGCAAAACTTTCAAGAACATCATGTATTTTTTTTCCATTTGCTCCCCATCTGTGAAACTTGTGTGCTAAGAATCAATAAATTGAAAGAAAAATGTCCTAAAGGCTCTCTCGGCTCCTCTTCCACCTCTTAGTTATACCCAACCTGTAGATTTCAGCGTGAAGTTTGAGAAGCTATTGAAAACACTCAGACTGACAGGTTTAGAATGGTTCCCTGGGACAGAAGCAGATCTTACTCACAGCTTTGCAGATCAATGAATGGGAAAGAGCTCTCCACGCTGCCGTACGTGATGCACCGGGGGGTTCTAGAGAACTGCTCCCCTTGGGGGAGTACCCACACCAGAGAGGAGCTCACAACTACCTGAGTTCAGTGCTCAGGACCTGCCTGCTCTAGACTTCACACAGCTGAGGTCTTTGGCTGCAGTGTGATTTCCCTTTCAGCTTGGGACAGCAGCTTTTAACCAATGAAAATCCCACTGCCCGGGGTACTGCACAGGTTACCCCAGCCTTGCAGTGAGTGCTGAAGACTCTGAATGATCTAACAAACAAAACTGAGTGGAAATGGTTTCCACAAGTGTTTGTTGTTTGAAAATGTCTGCAGCACTTAAGCAGTTTAAAGATTTCAGGACTGCCAGAAACAATGGTCAGGCTTGATCCTGGAAATGCCTCCTGAGCTGAGGCAGGCAAGGCACAGGGGAGGGCAGGGGCAGCTCGGGCCAGATTCATGGAGGGGACAGCAAGAGGTCTAGAACAGCTCACACAGGCCTGAATTCTGCCCAAGGCCCCCCGAGTCCTGCCCTCATACGTTGTTTGATAAACGTCTGCAGCACTTACTTAAGCAGTTAAAAGATTTCAGGACTGCCAGAAACAATGGTCAGGCTTGATCCTGGAAATGCCTCCTGAGCTGAGGCAGGCAAGGCACAGGGGAGGGCAGATTCATGGAAGGGACAGCAAGAGGTCTAGAACAGCTCACACAGGCCTGAATTCTGCCCAAGGCCCCCCGAGTCCTGCCCTCATACATGGGAACACGTGTTCTTTACCTGTGGCAGTCAGCAGCAAGGAGCAGTCCTGGCCATTCAGGTACTCCATGGCTGTGATCCTGGTGTAACGAGGGTTCCCGTTGTGGAAGTAGTCCAGCTTCTCCCCTTTCTCCCAGTCCCAGAAACTCGGGGAGGAAGAAACACCAGGTCAGTTCTTGGTCTCTGTGCCAGCTGTACAGAGATCTACTCAGTACAGGGAAACCATAAATGATACTCCTTGGATGCCAATTCACTTTGGTGTCCTGGGGTACTCAGCACCATCCTGTCAATAATGCATGGCCACCTTTGGTGGCAGAAGAGCCCAGCTGGAGGTGACCAGCACAGATCACTCAGGACTCACTGCCAGCCCTTTAGCCCAGCCCCTCCTGGGGGAAAGGACTGGGGGCCACACTCACAGCCATGGCACAACCCGAGGGAGGGCAGGGTGAGGGGAGCGGGGAGGAGAAAAGGCACAACCTGGGGAGTGACAGCCCAGAGCTGGGTAACCCAGAGCTCCAGCAGCCTCCTACCAGATGCTGTCCTTGTCGGCCACGGCGATGCAGGGTGTGAAGGGGTGGAACTTCACCACGGAGGGGACGCCCGGGTTCCTGTTGAGGAAGATCTGATCATCCAGCCGGGAAATGCCTGCGGGGGGACAGGAGGTGGCTGCAGCTCAGTGCCTGGGGACAGCCCACCCCAGGGACCTCAGACCCCCCTCTCCTCCTCCTCCTCACACCCCAGTTCTCAACAACAGACCCCCAAACACTTTCCCCCTTGAAGAGCCCTCCCAGAGCCCAGCTCTCTGACAGCCCTGACTCCTCCACGCCAACTGAATCATATCTTAAGGTACAAACTCCAAATTGTGGTGACAAGTCAAGGGGTCCTTTGCTCTGGCAGCTGAAGAGAACACAGCAAGGAAGCACAACCAAGGCCAGGGAAATACCAGTTTGAGTTGACAGAAAAATCATCATTTTAAAAAAAAATGAAAACTTTTTTTCCAACTTAAAATGCCTTATTTCATTAAATCTTATATCATTTATTTAGCCTTCCATTTCAGTTCTTTTAAATTTTAGGTTAATTTGCAAACAAAAAAAATGTATTTTCCATCAGGACATTAAAATGATGGTTAAAGACCTTTCCCATCTTCTCCTCACAACAGGCTGCTGTTCACAAACAGTTTTGGTACCCCTGGCATGGCAATTTTTTTCCGTAGTATGAATTCATCACACAAAACCATAAGCCCAGGAGACGTTTACTCAGTTCTAGTTTGTTTTAGAATGCATCCATTTAATCTAATTTTCATTAAAATACTGTAAGTCTACTTTGATTCTTTTTAATATTTCACATCTCCATTTTTTTTTTTTAATGAATCCTGGCATTTTAGTTGCTCAGGTCAAGCAACCAAATAAGAACACAGTCTAGAAAAGATTTAACTTCTCCAGGCAAGCATGAAAAATCCCCTTCTTTGTATTCAAGGAGATCTCTCAAGCCATCTCCTGGGCTCCAGTTTCATTTCTATATTACTCTGGTTTATGATATTCTGCAGTTTCACAACATTAAGCTACCCACTGCACTGACTGGAGCCCAGCAAACCCCCAGCCGACGAGGCACAGGCAGCAGGTTGAGCCTCGGGCAGTTCTTCATTCAGCAAATTATTGTTTTTGACTCTGTGTGCCTGAGTGAGTATCCCAGGAGAGGAACAGCCCCCACCTGGGAATGCTGCCAGGAGGGTACCATGGGAAGAGCTCCCCTAAATGCCACTCCCCAGCCTCTGCTCTTCCCAGGCACACAGGCAGGAAGCATTTATGCAAACTCCTGAGAAAACATCATCGGGCTACGTTATATTTGAATAAATTCCTGTGTTAAAAGAATTCCAGCCCAGTCACTGCCTCCTAGAGGCATGAAGAGCCATACAAAAAAAAGCAACCCCAGCTTTGTGGAGGGTACAGCTGAGTGAAACACTCCCCTGAGGCACAGAGAGGGGAGCTGTGGGCAGCACACCCAGAGCCACACAACGGCTCCTGCGGAGGTGCCACCCTGGTGGCTGCAGAGCTCGGGAGCCACCAGATGCTCCATCAGGTCTCATAAGTGAGGAAACTGCTGTCCTGGCAAGCTGGCTCCTCCCTCAAGGGCCCATCCCTCAGGCTCCCTGCCCAGTGCCACGCTCTGGGCAGATGTTTGACACCTACAGTGCCCAGTTCTCTGATGGGGCAAACAAAAGCAGCAGCTGGACGGGAGGCTGAGCGGTTGATAGCCAAGCCCCCCAGCCAACCTTCCCCATCTGAGGGCCAGCACGGGGTCAGGGGTGACTGGGGGTGCTCAGAGCTCGAGGCAGCTGCCTGCAGCATGGCAAGGGGGATCACTCACCCTTCTGGATGATCTTCTGGGCTTGCTTCCTGACACGAGCGTTGCGCAGGAACCGCCACTCCCTCTCCTTGCGAATCTGGCTCTCCAGGTCATGCTCTTCTGGAATCTTTCAGTATATCAACATATTCACAACACAAAACGACAGTGACCATCAAAACTCCATGAATTACCTTCACAGCACACATTCATACACACACACACACGTGTCAAGATTAAGCCTTAAATTCCTCAGGGTCTCCAGCTTCAGGCAGTAAATGGAGAAGCTCACGGGACCTTATGGTATTAAATACTTGAGCATCTCTCTGATCTAAATCTCCCCCATTGCCTGCAGTCTTTCCCTTTCCCTTTGCTGTCCTATGTTGTGTTTTGTCTTTAAGTCATGGGCACTTCTCCAAAGTGAATGATGTGGGGTTTCTGAAGAGCCATGGACACTCAATCACCCATCACAGTCTCACACTTGGCGGGCTGGTGGAGGAACCTCTTTCCACCACACACACAACTGCCCCAAGCCCCTTCCTCTCTGAACAATGCCCGTCTGACTCCAGTCCAGTACAGATTACTCTGCTTAACACTCTTCAGCTGAAAAGCATCACGTAGCAATCCTGAGATTAAAGAGAGAACACAGCTTTGATACAGCCAGAGAGCTCAGAATGCATTAAAATCTTTCTTTCGTTGCTAATAGAGGAGGGCAGGCCAGAAAAGGCATTACTTTATTTCCAAATCCCTGAGATGCTTGAGTTACCAACATCACATTTACCAGTAACAGCAACTGTTTCAGCTTCCCCTATCAGAACTGACTGCAAGGAAATGATGCCCCAGTGTCATCTTCATTTGATTACACACAAACTTCTGCCTGAAACTGGAGAGAGGCCCTGGAGCAGTACACAGCCACCCTGATCTATTTTATGATATTTATTCACAGCCCAGAGCTCCAGGCTTGGGCATGCTCCATGGCTTTCCTGCAAAATCCATCCTCCAGCCCAAGGCCAGCTGAGGATTCTGCCCCAGAGCTACCAGCAGCTCCTGCCAGGGGCTGGAGAAGTCTCAGTGCTGCTCCTAACGCCAGGCAGGATCATGGGCATCCCTCCCCTTAGTCAAAGAACAGGATCCAAAGGAATAAACTCATAATAGGATCTGGTGGCCAAAACCACTGCAGAAGTTACAGATGATATATCTTTTATTTAATGCTTCCAAAAATTATCCAAGATTAGCAACACCACTCCAGGATCTCCTTGGATCAACGAAGGGGCTGAGCTACAGGACTCTAATCTGGCTTCTTTTGATGAGGGCTGCTCCAAAAGGAATAACTCTTGGAAAAGGGAGACAAAAAAGTCCTTTCACTCCTTCCCTATTTCCCCAAATAACCTTTTTTTTTTTTTCCTGAATAAGAAAGTATTTAAATCTTCTCTCACTATTACATACACTGTCTTCAAAATGCCCAACAGTTGAGATGAATTTCTGCTTCTTTAAAATGAATAAAAAATAAGAAACCCACCACCCACCTTCCCTCCTGGCAAAAGGAAAAAACAAGCCCTACTGTTTCAATTCTTCAAGAATACAACATCTATTAGAAAGGCAATGACAAACGACCAATGATGTAAGGCAATAAACAAACCTAAGATAAAATACATCAGCAGAGATTTGAGAGCAGAGAGATCACACCTACACCTTAATAAAAATCCAGCTTCTCTGGGAGTAAATGAAAGTAAGACATAAAAGGCCAGGAGAAGAGAAGGGAAGGGGCAGAATGGTGAATTCCACAGGCAGCCAGCAGCTTTCACAGCTCAGGGTGAGGAAATCTGCAGGCGTGCAGCTGAGCAAAGCACTCCTGGTGGACAAAGAGGGGCAGATAAAGGAGCTGCTGGGCTTTTCAGCTCTGGAGAAAAATAACCTGGCTCTTCCAGGGAGGCTGAGCAGGGAGTTGTTCCTATCTGGTATCAGGAATAAAGATTCCTCCTGCCCAGAGATCTCCCAGGGTATGGTCCCCAGTGCTGGAGCACCAGCAGACCATGGGCAGGGCTGGGAGAGCGCTCGGAGCATGTCCCTGCAGGATGAGAGGCTCTGATGAGAGGGAGGCAGTGAGCAGGTCCCAGGAACACCAAGAACACCAGGAACAGCAACCCAACAGGGCACAGGGGCAGGCCAGGAGAGTCACACCAAGCTCACAGAGACCAGCCAGCTCTGGGTGACTGCCTGTCCTCCCAGGCTCACCAGGACAGCTTCTGCCTCGGCCACCACCGAAGAGCAGCGAGTGGGTTCTGGTGGCAGAACTGGTGTTTCCATCCAAAATCTGCCCGCCCAGTGTGCCCTGTGTGCCACCTGCAAGCAGAGGAGCAGATGGCAAAAGGGGCTGAGCAAAAAACTGAGACAGAAGTATGGCCAGAGCCACCTAGAGCTTGTCACCAATGGGATGATGAGTCTCTGGGGAAGTTCTGGCAGGCTGGCTTGTGAGAAATCTCCAGTATTGCTTGTTAAGTTGAAACTGTGTGTATCAAGTGCTTTGGAGACAAGAAACCACCAAGTGTCCAACCATCAAAGGTCCAACCAGCAACAACCCAGAGCCCCCACACTCCCTTTCAGAGCTGCAGGTGGAGACCTGCCCGTTGAGTGCAGCAGGAGCAGAAGATCTGGCTGTAAAAGGAGCACAACTCCTCCTCCCCAACGGCTCCAGAACATTCCAAAACTGTGTGCAACCATGTGCTGCTTGTGTGGTGCCACGGGGCCATCAGTGGGTGTTCCTGAGGGGCTGCAGTGTGGGGGCAGTGCTCCCCAGTGGAGGGATCCACTCGTGTGGGGTCCTGCAGCTCCTCCGCTCTGGGCTCCACTCCACACACTGCTTGTCCTGTCCCCCACTGAAACCTCATCTTCCTTTTGCACCCTCTTTGGGGCACATTTAGCATTCTGCTGCATCCCTGAGTCCCAGATCCACCCACAGGGTCCTTAAAAAAGGAGTTAAAATGGTTATTAGAGTTTCCTGAGGTTGAGAGTAAAGGTGTCTTCACAGTCCATTACTTAACACTTTCTGCTCTCTGGGCAGAACTGACAATGAAAAAATCCTTCTTTATTTTCTTAGGTGTGATCTCTGATTGCTTCAGCCATTCTGGAGACAATGCTTGTGCTATGGCAGGTCAGCAGAAGATTCCTCACAGAAGCCTGGCCCTGCACACAGCTCCTGCAGACACCCCAAACCCCAGGCAGGGCAGCAGCCAAAGCTCACTCAGGAGATATATCAGGGAGAGCTTATTTCACTGCCTCAGATCCCCAGCACATTACTGAGATCCAATGCACAAGTGAGGCATCCCCTGATGAGGGGAGAGAAGGGCTGTGCCCAGATTTTCCTGCATGGGATCCTGTTTTGTCAGCTCTGTTTTGTTTCAGTTCCCACGTTTGCCTCTGCACTGCTGGTGTGCTGCTCGACCGTGACAAACCTGACAGCTGGACACCATCCCCAGCACCAGCCCTTCCTCCCCTGCAACAGCAGAGAACTGATGGCATCTGTACCTGGTTTGCTCCACTCTGGGTGCCTGGGCATCTTCCTGCAGCACCTGCAGTTCATCTGTGCTCCAGGGTGACCTCTGCCTCCAGCATCATCTGCTTGCCACCCCTGTCTTCCTCCTCATCCCCTGAAGATGTGAACGCAGAGGAGTCCAGGTGCTTGCCCAGAGGACTGCTATGTTATGAAGGGGTTATATCCATGCACCACTTTAGGATCCAGTTCAGCTCCTGGCAGTAGCAGAACACTAAGGGCATATGCTGAAGTCTTGGATTTCATACAGTTGCCTCAACCAACCAAATTCCCTGTGCCAAAGGCTCTGCAGATGGGGGATGTCATCGCCTTGGAGCTGGTAAGGGAGGTTCCTGCAAAGATGCTTCTGCCAGGATCTGTGTGTCCAATAGCTTCCCCCAGGCCCAGCTGGGATCACAGCTGAAAATGCCCAAAATATACTTGCTGAGCACTAGACACTCTGTGTGGCTGCACTTGGGGTCCAGACTCTGGGTCTCACCAGTCCCAGCGTTACCATTAAGCTGATTGATGCCAGTTGGAATGTGGTGAACAGCCAAGTTAAAAAGAGAAACAGGGCCTGAGCCTGCACAGGAAGGAACCTGACACGATTCTGTGACACTGCAGGGGGGTCATGGAGCTTTGAGAGAAGAAAAATGGCAAGAATAAGGCAAAAAAATCCCTGTGAGTTCTTCTAAAGCCTTATCAGAGAGTAAATGTGCAGTACCTGTATGAGGTAAACTCTGTGGAACTCAACATATCCTTAAACTTCTTGCAGGGAAGTGTGACCCAGCAGAGCCTCTCCGTGCTAGCTCAGTTAAGTGTGACACAGGCAATTAGTGCACTTCTGCTCACAGGCAAGGTTTGACCAGCTGAGGCCTTGGACCACCACTGCAGGGAGCAGGAAGGGTCCCCCTGTGCCCCGTGCCCACAGGTCAGAGCTGTGGGGAGGACCTTGACAGGAGAGATCCTGTTCTCTGTGGAAACAGGAACCCCACGGAGCACGTCACGAGGGAGCTGCTGGTGACAGAGGCATGGGAAGATGCCAGGATGTGTGTGGCAGAGCTCTGCTCTCTGCCCCAGCTGCTGCCAGCTGGAAAAAGAGAAACTATTACTCAAAAGAACTAACTCTTCAGGCTCAGGCCTTTGTCTCCCTCCCAGCCAGCTCCCACGTAAGCATCAGAAAGTCACTTCAGTAAACAAGAGCCTGGTTCTGGCTGCTGCTTCCCCCAGGGGTCTGGGGGAGTCACGGGCAGTGCTGCACCACGGGCACCACGCCACCAACTCCTGCCACCCCTGAGCTCCCACCCAGCCAGGAACCAGTTATGCTCCTGAAACCTCCCACCAAGCTGCATCACTCAAAGGCAGGGAAGTTTTCCTCCTCTCACACTCTGCCTCTCCCTTCAGAGGGGAGCAGGAGGCTCCTGCAGACGGCTCCAGCAGGCACCAGCCACAGCTCCTCCCTGGCCAACGCTCCTGCAGCACTGCACGGAAGGCTCCTCACTCCACCAGGGCTTTGGACAACGGCCAAGGCACAGGGCTGAAGTTAAGGCAGGGTTTTATCAGGAAGGATTGCTTATGTAATTCTCACCTTCCAGGATCCTTCCCAGCTCCTTGCCTGCATGTTCTGCCAGTCCTGGAAATAACAGACGCTGGCTCCCGCTCTCCTTGACTCAGGGCTTCCTGACAGCTGGCAGCCAGGCTTTCCTGTGCTGCTCCGTCCAAGACTGCCTGTGGTTAGCAGAACAGCCTTTTGCCACAAGAGTTTTCAGGGAAAGACTTTGGTAGAGCTCAGAGCTAGGGTAGGTATCTGTTTTTCCTGGCACGCTGATAATTCTGTGATTCTAATTCACAATGCAGCATTTTCTTTCCCCGTTTATTTGATTAGATAATCAATAAATCAAACTTGGTGTGATGGTTTGAAACTGAGCCAGTGATTTACACTGGAAATTAATCCCTCAATCCTCCCAGTGAAAGCATTCTCAGGGCAAGGTCTATGAAGCAAAACTAAATTCATAAATTAAATATGACTAAGATGCACTCACAGTCATTTTATGTTTATTCATGACAGGAACAGTTGTCTTGTCTTTCCCCATTTATGATGGCAGGCAGCGTCTCCAAGTGAAGGGTTGCAATTAAACATCAATGTCATCTTTTTCCATCAGGACTTGGCAGATTTCATTCAGTCTTTGCCTTTTTTTTGTAAGGCTGAAGTTCCCAAAAAGCAGCAGCCCCCAGCCAGGGCTGTTTGTCCCTTGCTCCTGCAGGAGCAGCAGTTCTAGGAGAGGAGGTTCTGTGGCACCCCACAGAAGTTCAGCCAGCACCCGGGGTCCTGGATGGCCAGTCCTGTCCCACTGCACAAGCAGCAATCAAGAAATGCCACAGAAAAACCTTGCTGAGGGACTTCTTCCTGTCCTTGGCACACACATCACCCCCTCTAATCACACAGCTACACGTGAGGACAGATAACACCCAAGGCTTCCTGCAGAAACCCTCTACGTGCCCTTCCAAAGCTGCTTTCCAGCAGTAATGAGGAAATCGATTCTCTTCCTTGTTTTATTAGAAAACACAGATTTTGTTTTGCTCAAGCCTTAGCTAAAACATTGCTGTTGAGGACAGTTTGTGCTCAGAAAATCCAACCCTAACCACTGAGCACTTCCAAATGAAAACACATAAGAAACTCTTAAAAGGCCTTTGGCTGTTGTACGTGCTGCTCCTCTCTCCAGGCAGGCAAAGGCTGTGGGTGCAGCACCTTGGTCCTTGGTGTGAGACCCTGAACACCCCGGGACCCCCTGGGGTGCAGGGCAGCCTTTGATTTCCATGACTCCCCCTCCCTAGCTTCTGTAAATTAGTACAGGAATGCTCCACGTTTTTTATTTCCTCCCCTAAAGTAATTTCCTCTATTTTATGCACATGAAGTAGTAAATCCATACACACACACGCACAGAGCTCCCCATCTATCCACTGAATCTGCCTTTGATTGGCTGTCTACTGTGATTTATTTTATTAATAAAGACACCCCTCTTCACAGGGAAGAGCTTTCCTTAAAAAGCAGACAAATGTTTTTAATAAGGACTAAGAGATGGAACAACATCCTCCTCCTCTTGTACTCTTCTTCTAGACTTGAATCAAGACACTGAAACTCATCCCAAGCAGCCAAAACCCCCGTTTAAGGCTTGACCAAGCAGCCAAGCCCCACAGGCCAGATGTACATCCTAAAGAATTATTCTGCTAATGGCATCAGAAGAAAGTTCCTTTCCCCAGCAGTGGAAGAAGTGCCAGGCAATCACTTCCCCATCTAGTCTTCCCTCCTGGGGGTTCTCTAAAGAAATCAGAGCTACACAGAAGCTGGCTGCCATGTAACTACTTTTCTGAGATCCTTAAACTTGGGGGCGACTCCCTCCCCTCAACTCAACCTCCCTCACCTCATCAGCAAACAACTCAAGGTGCCTGAAGGCTGGGAGGAGTGCTGATGGCTGGGAGGATGGCTCGGGGGCAATCCCTGGGTGAGGCAGCACACGAAATGCACCAATTCCTCATTAGGGAGGTTTAAATATCACTGGTCAGACACAAACATCTCTGGTGGTGCTGCTCAGGTAGTGCTGTTAATACAGACTGTATTATTACTCCCAGAAATGGCAACACCTCCCAGAAATGAAGCTGGGAGTTCTGTGCCCTGGTGCTGCCTGACTCCCATGGCACCTGCAGGCTTGGCCTGAATGCATCTGCTTTTAAAAAGGGAGATTTACTGCTCGGCTTCATTTCATAAAGTGAAACCTGGTCTTTGGCTAAAAGATTCTGGGAATGTAACTGTTCCTCCTTCCAGTCAATGACAATCTTTGCCCATCTCTTAAGAGCTCTGTCTTGGTTTTTTTTTTTTTTCCTAGAATAAGGCTTCAGTGTCTCTCTCACTTCACATAAATCCAAATTAATTACCAGAACAGACTCACTTCTAAAAAGAGCTCAGTAGAGATTTGTCACTACCAGCCTCTTTCTTTGCCACAGCAGCACCTTGGTGTTTTTTTTTTTCCTTTTTCTTTTTTCTCACTTGAAAACCCAACAATGATGCTTCCAGAGCTTCCCCCAGGCAGTAATGTGGATGTTCAGTCACTATCACAGAATCACACACTGGTAGGGATGGGAAAGGACCTCTGGAGATCACCTTGTCCCACCCCCTGCTCCAGCAGCTCACCCACAGCAGGGTGCCCAGGGTCACAGCCAGGAGGGTTTGGGATCTCTCCAGAGCAGGAGACTCCACAGCCTCTCTGGGCAGCTGCTCCAGGCTCTGCACCCTCACACCAAAGAAGTTTCTCCTCCTGCTCAGGTGGCACCTCCTGGGTTCCAGTTGGTGCCCGTTGCCCCTTGTCCTGTGGCTGGGCACCACTGACCAGAGTCTGGCCCCAGCCTCTTGCCCCCCGGGGCCCTTTAGCTCTTGCTCAGCATTGATCAGATCCCCTCTGAGCCTTCTCCAGCTGAACAGCCCCAGTGTTCTCAGCCTGTCCTGGTCACAGAGATGCTCCAGGCCCCTCAGCATCTTCCCAGCATCCACTGTGCCCCAGTAATTCCTCATCTCTGTTGAAGTGGGGAGCCCAGAACTGGACCAAATACTCCAGAGGTGGCCTCACTAGGACAGAGTAGAGAGGGAGGAGAACCTCCCTTGGCCTGCTGGCCACACTCTTCTATCCCATTCTTTTTAAGACAGGGATCTACAGAGGCTGCCCACAAGCAGAGCACAGCTCTGAGGTCACACAGGGGTGCAGTCAGGCCTGACTGGAGGCAGAAATTGTGTTCTTCTGCCACCAGGATGACGAGGCCTTCACACAGGGCAGCAGGCTCCAGCATGGCTCTGCTCATTTTAGCATCACCACAGCCAGGAAGTTCAGCTAGAACGTCGGAAAGAGAACAGCATCTCTCCTCCTCCAGCCTCTCACAGCCCCTTCTGGCATAAAGGGCCTGCCTTACTCCATTTATTTATAAAAAAATGAAATAATAATCCCTACTATAACACAGTTTTCAACGTATAGATGAGCAATTTGCAAGAGCTGGTGAGTCTGGCCCCACTACAGAACCTCTCCCCACGTGTGCCGAGCTTCCCGAGCGTGCTCCACGGGGCACAGGGCGTTTGCTCCGGGCTCCTTCCCTGGTCACACACCCTGAGGGCAGGACCCGGGGGGCAGGACGTGGGAGGCAGGACCCGGGGGGGCACAGGGGCAACCTGTGTGGTTACCTTCATGACGGGCTGAGCGAAGTACTTGGCGCTCCAGTCGCAGAAGCCCGTCTGCACCGCGGCCGAGATGAAGCTCTTGTGTCCTGCGGCATCATCGGCATCATCAGCGGTCTGATGGGGAGAGAAGAGGCTGTTACCCCCCAGCCCTGCTCCCCTGGGCTGCAGGCACACCCAGCAGCTCCCCCAGGCCTTTGGCACACCCCCAGGCAGAAGAAGGCCCAAAGGCAGTGCCAAGGACACGGCGTTTCCACAGCTGGCTGGAAGGTCACTGCCGTGACGTTAGCTCTGGAAACACGCAGACCCCCTCCTTACACAGGACACCATCAGGCTCCTGTGTGACTCAGGGCTGAAGCATCAGTGCATCATCAAAATGAGGTCCCAGGATGAGTTTTCTCAGTCTCCCAAGCATCTGGCATGAGAATCAGTGGAGCAGCGAAGATAATTCAAGATAAAGCACAGCCAGACACAGCTTCAGATCAAGGGCATCTATGCACCGAGTATCCAGAGGGGACCAGAAAGAACACTCCATTCCCACAGACCTCATCCAGTTTTTCAGAAGTAGGATCTAGACTAAGCAGTGCTGCCACCCTCATGAGAGGTGAAGGTGTTTCCTGCTAAGGCTTCAACATTTTTTTATTGTAGTTACACAGAAATATTGACTCTCCACCCCCAGTAGCTTCTGTGAGCTCACTCGTTAAGACAGGCAGAACACTAACTGGAGTGGAGAGCTGCTCCTCCCAGCAGCCACAACAGCCCAGCTGTGCTGTCCACACGTCCTCTGGCCTGTGATGCACACACCCCACCACTGCTGAGGGGACAACCCTGCCCTTTTACCAGCAGGGAGACAGGGAGGGTCAATGTCCTCCCTGCACCACGCTCTGTGGCAGCAGAACACATCCACTGCCTTCTCAATTCCCTCCTATCCATGGAGCCAGCACCAGGAAAATCCTGGAAATGTGCTAGAGTGACAGGCAGACCCAAAGCTATTGCCAGATGGCTGAATCCTGAAGAACACTGACCACTGCTAATAGTCTCTATCTTCACATGATGTCCACAACCATGTCCAAGTGTGCCTGGACTCAACCATACTCATCTGATATGACTCATTTGAAGTTATCTGAAGGTGATTCCAAATCTTTTGTGCATACTAAAATCTGACTGATTGTTCTACTTGGCACCACATCAGTCCTTCATGCTTCTGTAAATGGAAAAATGCCCAGCAGCTGATGACTGTCTTTAGAATGCTAAAACACAGGAGAAACTCTTGCTGGCTTGCCCTCGTGTTGACAAGAGGAGCCACTGCTCTTCCTCCCAGAGGTCCTCACAGCTCATTACTGAGCAGCTCTCCTCCAGCAGCTTTGGTCTTCCTGGTAACAATCTGGGCTCACATCCTCCCTTGTGGACAGCAAAGAGGGACTGCCAAGCACAGAGGGGTCAGAACCACTAGGAAGAAGGTGAATATTCTGGTGTAGGAGCACCTCTCAGTCTCTCAAGAGGAAGGTTGGGTTTGTTTGTTAAAGGAAGAGGAATCTCCCCTTTTTCCCCTTGGTTCCTGATCTGCTGAGGCTGGAGAAAAAGCATCCGAGGGCTACAGATCTGACTCCACATCATCACTCACTCAGACAAATGTTTATGAAAGAATAAGCAATCAGCTCTGATTAAACACTCCTCGGCTGCAGAAGTGAATAACGCCCTATCAAAAGCTATCAACCAAAATTTATCCTGAAGAAAAAAAACTTAATCACTTTTTTTTCATTTTCCTGCTTAAAGGAAACCAATCTGGAGTGAACAGCAGCTAGATCAGAGATGTGTGGAAGCAAACCAGGGAGAAGGGAAAGTGTAACAAGAGCCAGAGGGCAGGGAAGGAGCCCAAGCTGGCAGGGAAGGCTCTTTACCTGCTCTGGCCCCTTGTCAAACATCTTCCTGGTGCGGGGGAACTGGTGGGAGTGGGGGGTGTACTGGACCCCCACGCTGCCCACGTTGGCGGGTCGCACCGAGGCCATGTCCCGCGGCACCGGCTGCTTCGGCACCTCGTTCGTCAGGCTGGAGCTGCTCGTGCTCGTGGTTGGAGGTGACCCTCTGAAGGTGGAAGAAAGGGGAAGATTTGGGTATCAGCAGGCAGGAGACTCTTACCTGTGAATTGTGTCACTGTTCTTTTATTTCTTTCTTATAAGGTTTGTGCTTCAGTGCTGTGCTTCCTCTACAAACCCAAATGAGCACGGTGCCCCCCTCCCCTCCAAGGGGCACACAAAGCCCAAAGCAAGAGTGAACCTTGACTGCACCAACGCTGGTCTGAGGACAAGAAAATGAACATTTTGGGAACCAGCAGGTCCAACAGTCACCCACCCACAGGTCACGATGTCTGACTAAGGCACGCTGAGTATTTCAGTGGGGAGACTGGAAGTCCTGTCAGCCCACAGAAAAACATTTTAATGTACAGGTAAACTGACATTTACCTTATTGCACAGTTACATTAGACTATCAGAAAATGTTAAAAACCCATCAATGAGCAGCTCTGGGCCCTCTGTTCCAACTCAGAACCTTACTGGTGCACACTGATTATGGCACTGCTAGATCTCAAGCGTGGGGCTCTCTCTTGGAGAGCAGGTTTGGGGAAATAATCAAATTTTTGAATCCCAGCTTCGCCCACACTATCATCTCAATTCCCCTGCAGTTCAGACACGGCTCAATCATCAGATAACCCTGGCTTTTATCAGCTGAAAGTGCAGAAAATACTGATCAGACATCAGTGGGAAATTCGTACAGCACACAGGTCAGGTCAGAGAGCATCAGTAAGTCCAGCAGCAGTTAGCTCTTCCTGGCTATTCATCTTTAGATGATTAGTGTGGCTTGTGACTCTTTGCCCTACAAAGGCAAACCAGGGGGAATCCCCCACCTTCTCCCAGGGCTGCTGTTTCTGAGCCCCTCTCCAGTGCTCTTGCAGCAGCCGGGGTGAGCTCAGCGTGCCCACCCCCTGGTTCAGCTAACAGGAGGGCTGCTGGCAGGGTGCCTGGCAGGGAGCTGGTGCTTACCCCACTTGGTGGATGTGCATGCCCTTGTTGGTGGGGCTGGCCGGGGCAGACTGGGTCAGCGAGGAGGTGTCCAGGATGCGCTGGGGGCGAGCGTTGACTGTTGCCTAGGAAAAAACAACCCACAGCAGAGTCCTGAACAGCCAAGACCACAAAGCACCGACTGCCACGGGTGTTACCCGGCACAGCTGCACGCCTGGGGTTGGATGAAGTCAAGCTCTACCAGCGGGGGAAGGCGTTTAAAAATGTATGTGAAAAAAAGGCTTCTGTGCAGTTCCCGACACATGAAACGATTTTACTACTCTTTTAGTCAAAAAACACTTACCAGAAAGTGCCCTGCTGTTACTTGCAGGGAAATGGCTTTGACTAACTCGGAAGCCTCTTCCCTCAGTCAGCTCAGCCCAGGAGCTGGAGCAGCACCCCGGGCAGGGGGAGCTCCTGCAGCAGCCGGGCTTCCCCCACCTCCCCACGGAGCACTGCGGGTGCTGCCACCGCCCTCACTCCCACACACACTCTGCCCCTGGTCAGAACTCCCCTCGTACCCCCCCCAGCTGCCTGAGGTGCCTCCTGTGCTGCTCCACCTCCCCTGAGGAGAGCCCAGCTCTGCTGGAGCTCGTCACACCCTCCCCAGCAGCACCACATCCACGGGGAGGCAGGGGACTGGCACAGCTGGGAGGCTCTGAGGTCAGTAAAACAGAGGCAGTCCTCCCTGGCACTCAGCCACCCGCCAAGAGAGACCCGTTTCTGGAAGAGCCTGAGAACTTGCTGTCCTTCCTCCTGGGGAAGGCCTCAAACACAAGGCAGAGAGACGTCTGCAGGCAGCTCCATCCCTGTCTCACACTCCTCCAGGCTGAGCTCGCTGCTCACCCCGTGCAAACAAGCCCCCTTCAGAAAGGGTGAAGCCTTCCATTGCTCACAGACTCCTTTCCTCCCCTTCCACACCACCCCGCCTCCTGTGAAATGTTTGAAATTTCTCACATATCGAAATAACTTTTAAAGGAAGCCCCAGACTGGCATAAAAAACCTGGAGGGACGAACAGGGCTATTCCACAGGCAAGAAAAGTGGAATCATCTCTTCCAACACTGAGAAAATCCACATCTCACAGCTCAAGAGCTGAGTGGGGCTCTCAGGTGATGACACCAGGGCTTGTATCCAGCTGAAGCCAAGCTACACAAGGTAAGAGAGGCCACCAGCTGCTGAAACACAAAGCACTAAGAAGCAAGAGCTGCTGCATGGTCTTCAGACAGCTCCTTTCACAGGTTATTCTCCTCCTTTCCCTAAAGGCCACTCATCTCACCATCACTCAGGGCTGTGGTGGAGTCTCAGATGTTAGTACAGGGGGGGCTGGTGCAGACAATCACACCATGAGAACGGAAGGAAAGTAAGAAGAATTTAGCAACTAGTGACATATTGTTATTCATAACTCATCTTAATTAGGCACAGAAGGCTCAGTGGAAGGATTCTAACAGCCAGGTCTCTGTCACCCAAAAGGGGTCAGTCACCCTGTTTCAGAGCTGGGGGACAAGGTCAGCTAATGGGAATCTGCTGCAGGGGAACACAGGGAGCAGAGTGTGGCACACACCCCAACTCTGCCTGGGAAAAGTAAAAAAAGCAGTTTCTTCTCTGAAGGCACCCAGCAGTGAGGGCTGCAGTGCAGTGACAGGACGGAGCATTTTGCTGGAGGCAGCAGCTCCCCGTTTCCTGGGGATTGCTCCTCTGCCAGTCAAATCACCTCTTTCCAGGAGGGGAGGTGGCAATTCATAATTTTGCAAATTGACTCCATGCTTAAAAAATAAAAAGAGCTCACTGTCAGAATGACTTGCTCATGCACAAAAAAGCCTGTACTCGGGAGTGATGTTATGGAGGAATAATTCCTGGGATAATTCAGCCTCAAGCCTTCCATTAAAAAACAGCTGGATGAAGTCACCTGGGAGGAAGCCAATTTCCCTTCATTAACTGTGATCTCAAAAAGTCTTCAAAGGCCAGCGTTGATTACTGGGGCCTTTCTGTTTGTTTTGGTACACACAAAAAAGCACGTTTTGCATTTTTTGAAAAGATGGGGCTGGGAACAGGAGCAGCACCACCCCAGTCTGCTCCACAAACACAACTCAGAGCCCAGGCAAATGTGGGTGAGAACAGGCAAGGTCTGATCAGCCCAGGGAACAAAGCGGCATCGCTGGCACCCGGGAGGCAGCCACGGCTGCACAACCTACTCACCAGCTGCTCAGAAAGACATCGCCCTATTTAAAGGCCCTTGGAGCTCTCCTGCAGATGAAGCTCTATGTTCATGGCTCCCTTAAAAAAAAAAAAACCCTGAAAAGGACTGGTCTTGTTTGAAAACAAAAATCCTGCTCGAGATTCACGCGGTGCCTGGCAAAGTGTTTTACAAATGCAGAGTTGGAACCTGAACTTTTGCACAGTCACAAGACTGGCAGTGCCAGCCCCAAAATTTACTGCAGGGGGTGGGAAGTGCTGCAGAATTCACTTCCTTGAGCTGCCCAACCCCACTGCTCTCCCTGTGTTGTCTGATCACCCACCAGGGCAACCGGGTTACAGGACTGACGCCTGCCTGGCACGAAGTACGTTTTAAAATCTTTAAGGCTTAAAGCACAGAGCTTGGCAGCATTTTGGGGCTGTTTAGTTCACCAAAACTGAAGCTGCAGTTCACCCACACCCTCCAGAAGCACAAGCCCGTGGCTGATGCCTTGGGCTCTTCAGCTACGAAGGCCAGCAGTAGGAGGCAGTGTCACACAGGCCACCCTGCTTTGTGCAGTTGTGTTACTGTAAAGAAAAAATTCAGGTGTCCAAGTTCCAAAATGAAGCTTCTCTCTCCCTGTATTTTGTATTAATTAGAACAAAAGGATTAAAACTCCAGAATATGTAAGTGCTTTGCTTTACATGAAGCAAGAAAACAGAACTTTGGTTTTTTTTTTTCACTCAGTGATAAAATCCAACCAAGCCCATGGAAAAGGTGTTGTTTGCACATACTCAGGAGGAGCAGAGGGCCCGTGGGCAGCAGCCAGGCTGCTCCCCTTTACTGCCAACAAAACTCCATCAGCACCAAGGAACCATCTCAGCATTAGCACACATTTAATTGTTACTGATCTGCATCATGCATGAGACAGCTCCTCTGCTCTGAGCTCACACCAGCAGAGTTCAGGCTGTAAATCCTGGCAGCACTGCTCACAGCAGGAGTTTTGTCCATAATGAAATGACTAAAGGCCAGATCATAACCCGGGATCTGAAGCCTTAATTTCCATTTTGGTGGGCTGTTAATAGGTTTTATTATTTTTTATTTTTTTTAATTATTAAAAAAAAAAGCCTTTTTAAAAGCCACCTAAGCCAAGTGGTACTGGCAAAAGCAAAGCCCACAGCATCACGAGGTGCACAGCAGTGAGCTCACTACATACAGAGCTGCCCAAACTGCTGGACAAATTGCATATTTATACTTTCCTTATGGATCTTATGGCTAAGGCAAAAAAGAAGGAAGAAGTTTTGTTCATGGAAGCATCCCCACATAAAGCTCTTCAGAACCAGGAATGCTTTTGTTCCTATTGTGCAGACCCATGTGAGAAGTCAGAGCCTCAGGAAGCCAGGGACTGTCCGAGAGGCAGAGTGTGAGATGCCTGATACCCACCCACTTGAGCTTCTGGACTCCATTCAGTATTGAATTTTGGTCCATTTTGGTCCAAACTTGTCAGAATCGACACAGAATTCACAAACCAGTCACACCAGGCACCCACACAGGTCCAGCTCTTCCCACCACCCACTGAGTGAGTCCTGGAAAAGTATTCCCTACAGGAAAGGCAGATCTGGTTCCCCTTTATCTCCCTTTTAATCCCATAGTAGGAGCAACGTGTCATTTTGCAAAGAGCCTTCCAAAAGACAAAACTCAAATAGTTTCATGCATCCAGAGCAGAGAGAGAGAAATCTTTCAGCCTTTTCCTTTCCTTAGGCACCTCAGTTTGGCATCTCCACCACTGTTGCACACCCGTATCGCCAGGGGAGGGCTGACCTCACTGCCCCCACTGTTAAATTAACTCTCTATCCCCAAACCCCAGACTGTACCACTCACCAACGTGTATACTTCAAACAAATAGAAGAGTTCAAATAAGGAGCTATTTTTTCTCAAGAGAAAATCAGATTTAAAAGCAGGAAATCTCTAAGGCATTAAAATGGTAGTGCACAATGCGGGCATCTCTTACTGCAACTTTAGCTCAGAAGCCTAAGTCTGGAGATTTGTGATTATTCACTGGAAATCACCAGTAAGAGAGGTCACCTTGCATTGCAATGGCTCATGGTCTTGATGCTGGAGCAACTAGAAAGCACGTGGGAAGGGCTGCGTTCCAACAGCTTCCTGACACCCCCGCCAGGGCAGGAGGAGGAAGGCAGCTGGTGAGAAGATGTTCTGGGGTGGCCTGGTGCTTGGTTCCAGGAGGAAGGGGAGGGTGTTCTACAGCACCTCGGGCTGGCAGCTCTGAGCCGGCAGTCACGGCAGCCTCCAGGGACATCTTGTCACCCCTGGGGATGGGATGGGATGAGATGGTGGTTTAGGCCTGGGCTGGAGAGGTGAGCAGTGGCAGGGGTGTCTGCATGCTGACTCACATGTACTAGTTCACCTGGGTTGGAGAGCCGTTGTGGCTTCAGTCTGCAGGCCAGTCCCACTTGCATTATCTAAATCGGTTTGCAAACGGATAATTTAATGAAGGATATTTAAGGATTCTCCCAGGGACCAATCTAGGTAAGCAGACTTCTAAACAAGACCTACTGGCTAAGGTCTGTGTATAATTTATAACCTAAAACAACCCCAGGCCCTCCCCCATTTATTTCTTTCACCAGATCAAGAGTTCACGAGTGTTTAGCATCTTGAAACATTAAAAGCTGCTTCTGCAACAGATCCAGACTGAACCAGGCAGAGTCCTCCCATGGACATATGGAGCTCAGTCTGCCTACACTTGGCCTAAGCACAAAAACCTTTAACACACAGGACCCTCACAGACACACACAGACACAGAAGGTCCTACCTTGTAGGCAATGCTGTTGAGAACTTTCATAGCCAAGTCGGAGACATCGGGATAGGGGTCAGCAGCTAAGTGAAGGAGTATTCTCCAAATCTGGGTGTAAACACTGTTGAAACTCACACCTAAAATAATTTAAAAAAATAGAACAACAAAAAACAAAGCCCCACAGCACATGACAATCCATCAACTCAAACTCTTTGATCTTATGTGAGAAAATTCATTAGAACTCCAAACATCACAGCGACATCGAGGAAAACATCAAGAGAAGAGCTCGAAAACACTCCACGTGGGCATTTAGTCCCTGTTTTGTCTTTGTGAACTCTGCAAGGGCTCGTAAAATGAAAGTGGGGAAAAGCAAAATAAATTAAAGACCACCTAAATAAGCTTCAGTTGAACCGCTAGTTTTCTAGGCTGCTGAAGCAAACAATCTGAAAGGCCAAGTGGAGAATGTCTTTGGACTTCCTGAGCTAAAATACTGAACAGTATAAAACCACACTTACTGGCTTATACCTTTATGGTTATTTTTATTGCTGGTTTAGACATTGGTACTCAGGTTGAGTAGTGAAAGTTTTGACTATTCCCCAAGTTTACTAAATATCTCAATGTTAAACATTAAGCTTTAGGACCTGGACCTTTGCAAAGCAGCAAGTCCAGCTGGGTCCTTCCTATTGACATTTGTACCAACTCCTTTCAATTTTCTGTTTGTTAGTTAAGGAGAATATCTGTTGTTTGGTATTTCAGCAGAAGGGACCGACACATTCAAAGTACAAATCAAATTAATAAGCGTTTGCAACAACTGACAAAATTCTGTGAACATTTTAATTTGCTCCTTTTAGGAGAAGCTTTGTTATTCCTCCTTCTAAACCCCTCAGTGTCTGCTAGTTGTAACACCGTCAGTTGGGAGTTGAGCCATTTGGGCAGTATTAAAGTGGTTGCACTAACAAAAAAAAAGGCACTAAAATAGGGTTTTGAGATGAGTCACAATCAATGGTAAATGACAGATCAAGCTGTTGCTGCATTCCCCTTCGTGTTTCTGGAGACATCTAAATATAAAGTGTTAAGTTCAGAAGAAAAGGTTCCTTGGTCAACAAGCAGCTTCTCAGCCTGCAAAGCTGCTAAACCTGATACTCAAACCAACAGAAAATAGACTTGGACAGTCCAGTTTTGAACTCTGGCCAATGAAGGCAAGTAGCAGAGGGTAATAAGCTTCAGGAGTCCACACACTGCACTTCACATGCTTGTCTGTGGCAGCCAAGGGAGCCTTTCTTCTGCCAGAAAAATTCCCCAGCGTGTGACAAAGTGTTCTGCAAAATGCAGAGGGAATATAACCTAACTCCAGCCTCCCATCTGACCTGCAGAGAAAGCATCTCCTACTCAGGTGACATCTAAAGGATGTTCCTAGTGCTGTCTGCCTACAGAGTTTCACACAGAAATCTCACATTTGTTTAAGACAGCACCACTTTGGACAGTGCTGCCCGTTTCCTGGGGGGCACCTACACAACAGACCCCTCCCTACAGCTCATCCTAACCAGCAGGAGGGGAAGGACACAGGGCCTGACAAAGACACAACAATGTCAAATTCACCCAGGAGAAATGAAATTGCTGATAATCCAAGAAAGCAATAACAACTGTCAGGAGACAAAGGGCACTGCTCTGTCACGTTTGGTGTGTGGCAGCTAAGGACAGAGCCCCACGTGCAGGACATCCCAGAGCAGGGGAGTACAGTGTGCATGGGTAGAGCAGAACTGAACGGTGCAGCTCCAAGTGCAGGTTTGGTTTTGGTCATTACAAACAAAAGCCATTGTCATTTTCAAAAGCTCCTGTGTCCTTGTTTAAAACAAAGAAAATATCCATACACAATAAGGCAAATCTCCACTCAGGAGAGGCTGAGTGAGGCCTCCCAGCCGTGCAGGAAGGTGACACAACACTCGTCTCTCTTCTCCAGCCTTCTGACCATTTAGGTTTGACTTTTGCAATTGCCACGTTCCTCCTGGAAGCTTCTATTACCAGGGAAAGGAAAAGGGGAGGGGGAAGGACGAAGCACAGGAGAGGGAGAGAGGCAAAGTGCTGCAGGCTGTGGGAGGACAGAAAGCCCCAGCCACTGAAGCAGTTAGCCAGGTAATGTCATCTGAGGTCTGCTCAGAGCTCTGCCTCCTACGTTTGGTCCTGTGCAGGAGTTACGTAAGGACCAAGGGGAAATCTGAACGGCTCGGTTTCTTTCAAAGCCCTTGAAAGACAGTAAAAGGGCAGGGAGAGAAAGGGAGAGGAAGAAGGCACCCATCAGGTCTCCCAGTGTCTCTGATCATCACCTCATTCATGACGCAGTCACGAAGAAAAAACCCGACGACATTTTTTATACATCCCAGCGTCATGAGAAACCCAAATTTAAAGCAGAACTGCACCAGTGAGATCCCTCATTCACTAGGCAGCCTTTGAAGAGAACAGAGGGGATTTCTACAAAGGCATCTCAGGCTCAGGGATGGTGCTCCAAGGACTGGTCCTTTCTTCTGCCGTCCTCCCCCAGCCCATGTTAGTGATTCAGCCGAGTGACACATCTGACACAGCTCCGTGTAAAACCCTGAGCACCAAGGCAGGGGGATAATGGAAGGCAGCAGAGGTGGCAGGGGGGACAGCAGCTTCATCTCGTGTAATGGACCCAAAATGCAAAAAACATCCAGGAGATGCAAACAAAGAGCCGAGCAAGGGGGACGGGGTGTTAATCTAAGCAGACAGCTCCGTAATTAGCCAGATAGATCCAAAGCCAGTTAAATGGACCTTGCAGTATAGATTTACACTTTCAAAATTATTCCTCTCTGCTAAGAATGTACAAAATAAATTGCCTGCCTTTACTGACGACTTTGATTTCCTTTGCATATGCATAACTCAGCTCAATTTACCAGCAAGCATCGTGCAGCAGCCCCGAGGAAGGGACCTGGCCCGAGGTCCTGCAGCTGGGTCACTGGATGCAGAAACCAGTGCTAGTGGCTTCATCTGTTCTTTCTGATTTGCCAGGCTTTGAAGGGGTTGCTTTCTAATCCCCTGTCAAACCCACCGTGGGGATTTAAGCCTCGAGCCCCAGAAGGAGGTGCAGTCTGCTCCCCAGGGCTGGGCAGAGCCCGCTCCAGGTCTGGCTGGCAGCACCAGGCACCTTCCCGAGGACTGGGGGTCTGTGTCCCACCAACACTGACCCCACCTGCTTTGTGAGCGTGTCCCACAGGAGTCCCCTCTTCCCATGAGTGACACGGGAGGTCCCGTGAGAGCTGCCTGGGTGAGGAGAACACCCGAGGTCCCAGCTCCCCAGGCTCTGCTCGGGCAGGTGTGGCTGGCAGCCTGTGCCCAGCAGGGACAGCAAAAGGGTGCTCCTGGCACAGGCCTGGCAGCCTGCAGGCTGCTCTCCTTGCACGGGGCCTGCACACTCAGAGCACGAGCTTCTTCACCTTTCAGCAGAAGCAGCTCACCAGGGAGAAGCATGTTCCTCAGAGCAGGGAATGTTCCCCTGGACCAGGGCTGTCCCAGCCAACGCAAAGGTTGTCCACCATGAGCAGCCTCTACACCAAACCTTCATTTCTAAAAACCACTCAGATCCCTGTATTTTGCTACTATGCAAGTTACTATTTATAAATGCTGTTGCTTGACCATTTACTTCTCATTATGTCTCTGCCTTTAAATATATTGCCTAGTGACAGAGCAGGCAGCTCTACCCATCCCAACACTCACTCCCTTCTGTGCAGCAGCTCACTGCCCACCCACATCTCTCCATCTCCTCACCCTCACTGCAGCAACCTCCTGCTGTAAGAGGTACTTTGAGACAGATTCTGTGACATGGCAAATAGTTTTCTGCCCTCAGCCTCTGCTGCTGGAAAAGAGAACTATTCCCCAGCATTTCATTGCTCCAAGATTTATTTTCCTCCTCCTTTGATCATTCCCTAATATGATCTTCCCAGTGATGCTCTCTGTAGGACAAAGACTTTAATCATGCAGTTTGGATGTGAATAATCAGCCTCTAAGTATGCAAAGCCCCCATCTTAATTCCTTCCCTTTCCCTATCTTAAAACTAAACTAAACATTTCCAGGACACCAAGACTAGTGCCTTGTTGTATGGAAAAAGCAGCGAGGCTCAGCTTCCCATCCCAACTAACCAAAAACTGCTCCTTGCCAGCTTGAAAATGTGAGCCAGAAAGAAATGTCTCTTCTGGTAACAATGTGCAGCCCAGGAACAGTCTGCCAGAAAACAGCACACCTAGACTAAGAGTACATGTCACATCTGGTGGGGGCACTACCTGGGGGCACCCAGCCTGTGGTTAGCTAAGAGGCTGTTTGTAAAATGGGATGAGAAGGAATGGAGAAGTTTTCCCCAAGTTCATGGGAAGAGCAACATTGTAGGATGCCACAACGTCAGTAAAGTGGATAGACTGATCCAGAATAATCCCTCTAGCACCATGTTCTTCAAATTGCAAGAGAGGAAGGAAGCCCTGAAGCAGTGAATCGAGCCAGGGAATGCAGAGTCCAGAAGGCAGAATTCAACTTTGGTTTCAAACTTCTACTTTTATTATCAGAAACTAGACTTCTGCTTTGGTTTGAGTCTACCCATGTGCTCAAAACACCCTTTTTACAGTTCTGCCTGCCTCAAATATTTGGCAGAGTCTTTACTGCAGAGCCAAATCACCACTACTTCTTCCAAAAGACAGAGACTAGAACAAAACACCTCTTCAGTCAAGACAAGGGTATCTCCCAGGTGGGTCCCTCACTGAGTCACCCCACGCTTGCCAGCTGCAGGGTGGCATTATTGCCACTAAACCTTTAAAGAAAGGGGTTAATGTGAGCCTGGGCTGGCTGGGAGCAGCCACAGTGCTGCTGAGAGGGACTGGAGCTGATGGCATTTTGAAAACTCTTTCCTTGGGGAGCAGGAGAGAGCAGGCTGGAAGATGGTGATTCTTCAGCAGCAATGAAAAAAGCCAGGCTTTCAGCAGGCAAATGCTGAAGGTAATGGGATTCTGTGTGAGTTATGAATTTTAAACACTTCCATAAGCTCTGTCGTTTCCAGCTGGATATGAGCTCCTCTGACTGAATAGGAATGAGGGAGGCTTTAGAGAACTGCTCTTTTTGCTCTCCTAGGTCTCCCTCACTCATCTCCAGCTCACCTCTAGATTCTTCTCCAGCTGAGCTGTAAAGCTCTTGAGACACACACAAGCCATCAAGCAGACACTGGTGGAAATGAGAAAACTCAGGTTCTAGCTTAAGATGGAGAGACATTTCCTAACACTGCTGTCATGCTTTAGGAGATCCAATTTCATTACCTTCAATCAAAAGCAAATTAAAAGCAAATTAATTGTTTCTAATGAACACAGGATTTTAAACTGCCACAGTGGCTCAGGAATTACAGTCCCAGAATCTTTCAACTCAGGAGAGCCAAATCACCATCATTTCCAAGCTACAGAGCAGAGAAAAAATGTTTCTTCAGTCAAGGCAAGTCTATCACCAGGTGGACTCCAAGTTACACCATCCTCTTTTCACTGACTTTTGAAGGCTATAAAAATATGGGCACCTTTACTGATTACCAAGAAAATGCAGCGACTTCCCCCAGCATTTCTCTGCTGTGTGCTGCCTTCCCTGCTCCCTTGAAGGAGGCTGCTCCAAAAGCCAGGTCCTTCTGCATGTGGCCTGTGTGACCACCCCAAAATGGTTTGGATTGTTTGAAAAACCACAGCTAGTTTAAAGCAATGCTACTGTAGCAGTTGGATGTGATGGGGAAAGTTAACTGGAAGACAACGGAGCTGAGCTAGCCCAAGATAAACATTCCAGTTTTGTTCCATAAAAGAAATGCAAACAATCCATTACACACAAATGAGCCACGTGCTGCACAAATACAAGGAAAATTTCCCTCCCTTCTGTGCTCCAGCACTTGGCTCTGCAGAGCTCTGCACATTACCCAGTCAGGTGCTGGGACACAGGCTCTGCTGAGTGGTGCTAAAGAGTTCACTGCTGTTAGAGCTTATCTGGGAGGCACTGATGGAGAGGAGACTGTAGGCAGCAGGATCAGCCATGGAACTTTTTGCACAAAAGCAGATTTCTATGAAGCACTCAGTCTTTTTGCTTTTAACACACAGCCTGGGATTTCTTCTTTTTTATGTCCTGTTTTAACAACGTCCATATAAACCCACATAGAAATGAGCTTGTCATCCCTGGGTGAGTAACACAACAAAGGGCTTGTGCTGTACAGAAACACAGCCCCTGGGAAAGCTGCACGGGGAAGCAGCTAGTGCCAGTGTGCCCAGCTGCTCTCCATGGATGGGGAGTCCTCCAGTGAAACTGCCCTGGATGTGAAATTCCTGGATACACCACATTTTGTGCTCAAATTCCCAATGGCACTGCTGTCCCCAGCAGTGAACCTACACTGGAGGAGCCCCCAGTCCTCCACCAGAGCAGGAGGGGCTCTGCTCTGCATGTAACCAGCCACACATGACAGCAGCATCTCCACTGGTAGGAGAAATTTCGGTGGAGTAAGATCTAGCAGGAGCTAATATCCAAGCTTTCCACAAAAGCTAGCACAAGCACATGAAGAAAGGGGACACCAAAGGAAGGGCAGGAGAGTTTTACTCACCTATCAGTGAATTCAGGGAAGAGTAAGAGCTGACTCGTCTCATCTTGTCAATAGTCTCAAACGACAGGATATACTCCTCATTCTCAGGGCTGCCCAAGGTGCTGCTGGCACTGCTGCTGGTGCTGAGGTTCCCAGGAGAAAATGCAACAGAGCTGCCAGCTGCCAAAAGAAAAAGGGGCCTGGTGCTGAAACAAGGACTGGTGAGAGAACAGGTTTTACCCAGAAGCAACAGCCCTTTTCTAAACCCTGCAACACGCCAAGGAGGCAAAGGCAAATCCACAAGCTCCCCTTTACACACGGGATGTTTAAATGCAGAGCAAACATCAAGGGGGCAGAAAAGACTCAGTTAAAAATCCATGTATGTGAGCAAGTTGGAAGGCACCTTTCTGGTCCCCAGACACTCAGAACAATCAATAATGATGACAAAAAATATTGAAACTAATTATGAGGAGGCTTCTCATCTAAGCCCTCGGAGCTGGCAGCGGGATAATCTGGGCTAAAGCGCTGCCTTCAGCTCCTGTCGTCTTGCACGTGGCATTTCCTGGCTTGCAAGAGCTGGGTAAGGAGGAGGTAAAGAAAAAGCAGAGAATTTTGAAATCTCTCTTACATTCTTCGTTCAGGCTGAGGTTCTGCAGGGACTTGTTCAGGTTCCTAGCTGTGGTGACTGCTCGGATGTTCCCGTAGGAGCTGACGGAGCGCAGCCGGGGCGTGCAGGGACCGTCGCGCACCGGTGTCAGGCTCCCACCCTCTGTGGATGCAAAACTGAGCAGTTACAGATGTAGCCAAAGCAACCACAGCCTTTGGTTATTTCCCAGCAAATAGATAACCGAAATACTCCCAATACAAACAGAATTTAGTCATTGGCTGTGAGGCTAAAGCAGAACGAGGCAGGAGAAAGGCTCCTCTGCACGTGGAATCAGCAGCGTCTCTGCTGCTCAGGCTGGGATTTTGTTCCCTCCAGTAAAGCAGGGGAGCTGAGCCTTGCCAGTGCCAGCAGAGCACCCAGAGAGGCACGAGGGCTCCTCTCTCCAGGTTGGTGCTGGGCCACTGCCCAGACACTCTGCTAGAACACGCTGCTACAGCAGGCACCATTCCGAGGCAGCATTTGCAGGCTCCTGTCTGCTGCTCGTTACAAATCCAGGACATTTCCTCATTATAAAGAGCTATGAAAATTCTGGTTTCCTGACCAAATATTCAGGTCTGTTTTCAGCTCATATTTCACCCACGACCTGGATACATATAATTTCCCAGACTTTCTCATTTTCATCCCTGAATACACACACAGTACCATGCCTTCAAAGCAGCTGTTTTATTTCACTGCAGAGGTGGCTGCATTACAGTGGTGGGGCTGGTGCTTCCAGTGTGTCCTACTTATAAATACTTCAGGATTCTTTTGGGTAAGGAAAAAACACTGGATAAGCTGCAGGTAATGTTTATTTCCTGTAACAAAAGGACGACTGGGATGAACCTTATTTTCCAATATGATTTAGTTATTCAGACAATAGGGAGATTAAACTACTCATTGCAGAGGCAGCACATGCTCTTGTCTCCAAGTTCCTGTTGGAACAGTCCCATTATCCTTCAAGATTTCCAATGTGCTAGAAACTGAGGTTAGCAACAATTTCCTCAGGGCTTTCCACTCCTCACATAAAGCAGCAGACACAACAAAAGGGATGGGACTATCTCACAGAGCATAAAGCTCTTCACTGCTTCTTGGCTGGTGCTTTACAAAGAGTATAGCTGGTTCATTGTTGTGTGGTGAGGCTTCTCCTTAGGTCAACATGACACTGAAGTTTCAGGTATAATTTGAGGGGTGGGAGGTAAAAAAAGTCTGGTAAAGGCAGTGTACTGCCTTGGCAAAGATAATTCAGTCTTGATCTGAAGGGAATGCCTCTGAATGTGACAGGGTGCTCAGGCTCTGCAGCATGCTGGTGAGCCACCAGTGGTTTAGATGGAGGCACAGTGGAGGATGCAGTTCTCCAGTGCCACACAGACATCAGAGCTTCCCACCATGGCACTGCACTTTGTGGCAAATCACCACCAGCAAGAATTCCATTCTGTTGGGCAGACTCCTTAAATAAAAGTTCCCAAGAGCTTTCAGGCTGTACATTTCCTGCCCACATAAACACCAAACACCTACCTGTGGTAGCTGGAGAAGGGAGGGGGTAATTCTTCTCTTCTTCCATGAACTGCAAGGCAACAGTGCAGAAATTGCTCTCGTACTGAACCACCAGGTGACTCAGAGCCACCACCAGCTCCTATGGAAAGAGCAGAAGAAACAGGAATTTTGTGGTTACACAGGTCAGAGACAATAGGTCAAAGGGAAACACAGAACAACATGGTCATAGTGAGGTGGGGAAGGTAGGTAAGGGGAGGTTCAGACCCTCAGTTAGGGACTGCTTGCTCTAGGTACTTGGAAAGAGCAAAGGGGAGAGGTGGAGAGCTGGCTTTGCCTGCTGCTCTCTGTTCAGGGGACTAACCTCCAAAAGAGAGATTTATGCATTTTAAAGAGCAACTGCAACATGTAGTTTTTTCTTGAATTAAACTGATTAAATGCTGGAATGAGGCAACAAAAACTAGTCCTCACAATGCCAGTGACAACTGTCAGGGTGTTGGTGTTCCAGCTGAGTAAACACAAGCATTAGGACACCCAGGTACACCCATCATGAACAAGCCAGAATGTCAACAACTGCTTAATATACTTGTTGATGTACAGTGGCACATCAGAAATTAGAATTGTAGAATGTCTGGGCTGGAAGGGACCTCCAAAGCTCATCTAGTCCAACCCCCCTGCCATAAGCAGGGACGTCTCCAACTAGATCAAGCTGCTCAGAGCCTCATCCAGCCTGATCTTGAATGTCCCCAGGGATGGGGCCTCCACCACCTCTCTGGGCAACCTATTCCAGGGATCTATCACCCTCATACTGAAGAACTTTTTCCCTAACATCTAACCTGAATCTCCCCTTTTCTAGCTTAAAGCTACTACCCCTTGTCCTGTCATTCCAAACCCCTGTGAACAGTCCCTCCCCTGCTCTCCTGTAGCCCCTCTCAGGCACTGGAAGGTTGCTATAAGGTCCCCCCAGAGCCTCCTCCTCTCCAAACTATAATTCCCCAAAACCTGGAGAACTACTTTGAAGCAGCCTGTCATCCATCCTTGTGCTTTCAAAAGCAGAAGGATCTTGTTACTGAACAGAGCTCTCAGGTTCTCTCTGCAACACTCTTCCTCCCTCTCCTCTTCCTCCCCTAGGACTGCCACGTCCTCCATGATTCTAGCAACACGTTGCTATTTCATTTAAAACCTGATGTCCTATAATGGAAAACACTGCAATCAAAACAGCAATCAATCAACACAAGAGCATTAGGAGTAGTGTAGCCCAGCAAGAATTCTCAGTGTCTTGTGCATCTGAAAAAGACCTGAGTGTAATCATTCTCCCTCCTTACCCCTGCCTTCACATTCTCTTTAAAATAAAAAAACCAGGACATAAAAATCCCCACAACGCCCCGAGACTGCCAGTCCTAGTTTGGATGTTTGCTTAGTGAAATGCAAGAGCTGAATGAGAGGTCTGCTGTTAAACACCAGAAACATTTTGATCTGAACAACAATCCTGTCAACCCCCCGGCACAGTGCCCTGCTCCACTTCACTGGTACTGTGCTGGTGGGGAGGCTCCTCAGGCTGCAGAGTGTGCACTGAAAAAGGGCAAGTGGACAAAGGGCATCCCAGGATGCTCCGGAGGTGGCCCCTGGAGCCTGCAGAGAGGGGCTCAGCACCGAGGCTCCACCCACAGCAGCAGGTCCATGCTGCTCTCCTCACCAGGGCCGTCACTGTGCGCGTCGCTGCTCAGCAGTAACAGAAGTTTAAAGGGCTTCGTGACGAAACAGATATTTCCAAGTGAGTCAGACTCATTGAAAAGCCTCTGAAACAACGCAGGCGTGACCGAGCTCAGCAGCAGGAGCCCCCCCAGGCCCTCCCCCAAGCCCTGCTGCACCTTTCTGACCATGGGGCTCCCGTCGTTGATGAGCTGGGCCAGCATCATGGCCACGTTGTGGTCGATGGTGGTGGAGTGGTCAGTCCTCTCAGCAGAGTTGCCCACAAAGGTTCCCAGTGCGAAGACTGCAGCGCAGCGGACCTGGGGACACAGGCAGTCATCATCATTCCCCTCTGGTTTCCAGCCCAAAGTTGGCCAGTGGGATTTTTTTTTATCCCCTCAAAAGGCATCTCTGGAAACCAGGATTATTATGTCAGGTAAATAGTGAGGGTTAAAGAGAAGCCCATAGAGAGTAAAAACCAAAACAGAGTCTGAGCGCCGAGTTTTAAATATTCACAGATGCAGGAATATATTTAATTTCCCCAAACACTTGGTGACCTTCCCATGGGTGATTTTTTCCAGTCGATGTTGCCTAGAATATTAATTAACAGGAGTAAGGTACACAGGGAGTTACGGATGGGATATGAATCTCCTTAATGAGAATGCTGAACTATAGTCTTTGGATAAGGGCTTACAGAAAGATGACAGGAAAAAAGAAAGGGAGAAAAGGCAGCGGCTCAAACCAGGGTAAACTTTGCTAGATCACACCAGGAAGAGAGGGATCAGATGGCTCAGTCATCTTCCAGCTTGCCTCAGCAGGGAGAGCAGAATCAGGGGGTACAGTGCAACGGGGGACTGGAGGATGTGCCCCCCCAGGGGCGTGGGTGTCCGTGGGGACAGTGAGCCTGGCTGCCACACAAACCCACCCACAGATGGGGAAAGGCAGAGCCAGAGAGAGGAGGAGGAGGATGCAGGACAGAAAGAGTGAAGGTAGAGGGGAATCTCATCGTTAATCACAGCACGTTGGCAGTGGTGTTTATCTCCAGGCTCCCCTCTCCCACCCGGGATGTGATTTCAGAGGGCTCTGACAGGCTCTGTCAATCACAGCCCAGCTCAGCACAAGAACTGCTTCTCTCTCAGAGCCTGTCACACAGGTAGCACACATGCCATTAAAGATGCACTCGCACACGTACCAGGAGAAGTAGTTTTCATACTTGGACAAAAAGACTAGAGGGTTTTTTGCAATGCAGAGTGAGTTTTGGGACCACATTTTTAACAAGCTTCTGATATGCAAGTAAGCAAAAAACCGTGGTGTTTCCTAACTCCAGTGCCAAGACTCCAGGGCTTTGGGGCTGTTTGAATTCCCCCTGCATTTCTCTGGTTACTTCTCTTACAGGGCTTCTGTGATTTGCACCACACCTTGAAGAAACAGCCACAGAATCTTCCTTCGAACCAGACACAATTGTAAAGCTCTTGAAAGCCTTGGTTTTGTAAGAATTTCTGTAGCACTCTGCCAGAATTCTGACAATTCACCTGGCATTTACTTAACCAGCTGGATTTTTACCTCTGGGATTGGATCCGAGAGGAGGCTGTAGAGCTTTTCATGAGCACTGTCTCTCACCCCACACCACCTGGCTGAGTCAAAGTTCTGCCAAATGCGTCCTAAACAAATGGCCACCCACTGACGCAGGAGAGGATGTGGATCATTCAGCTGCTCCAGGCAAATAGCAATCAGGTTTCCTTGAAGGCAAGCTTCCTAAAACACAAATCAATGCAATTTATTTTGCATGACAGCTTCCCACCTCATCACCAGAAAAGATTATTTCTGCAACAGACAGGAAATCAAGAGAAAATAATTATTTAGTGGTTATACACTCATCTTGTCACAAAATACCATTTGGAAGCAGTATGAAGGGAAGGTCAACCACACGCTGCTGTAGCTAAACAGTGGAGCATTAGAAACGCTCCCTGTAATGCACACAGCCTGATTTCTCCTCACTGGAAATACTCCTCACACCTGTCAGAGCCCCAAGGTTTATGGCTCACTCCATACACCCTTCCCCAGAACTTTATCACAGCCATCAAGCTCCCCCTTGACAGGAACTAGGCACTATTTGTCTAACAGCACCTCGCTGTGCTGCCCGGAGGGGCCGTTCTGGAGTGGCTGTGTCCGTAACCTCCCCTGCCAGGTGCCAGCTACATAATGCATTTGTCACTCCTCCAGGTCAATTCTTCTTTTAACCCCCACAAAAATAACACCAAACGATCTTCCATTTCAGTTTTCCAGTTCAGGGGTTTGCTTTAATGCAAGCCAGGGCACTTTCATCAAAGCACAGGCACAATGCAGGGAAGAGGCAGGAAAGAAGGAAGGCAGAAGGACGTTGGGACTCACCTGCCCAGTGTTGTAGTTGTTAACAATCACAGCCAGGATAAAAGCTGTCATTGTCCTGTGTTCAGCCTAAAAACAAGACACAACTAATTGTTATCCAGAAAACAGGTCAGAGAACCACCACAGCCCATGCTGTCTGAAATGGGAGATTATTCTAAGTATGGTTGGTATCGCATTATAAGAACAAGACAGGGAAAAACAAGCTAGAGCTTCTCATCACACAGCCCTGTCACCAGTTACACCTGAGACACTTCACCAGCCTGCCCACACCACCCTCCAGCCAGCCCCCTGCACTGCTCTGGAGGATTTGCACAAATACCACAACAAAGAGGGAACTGGGAGAGCAGCCAGCCCTCAGGAGCCCCCAGCTCCCACCCCCAGCACTGAGCTATCGGCACTCATGTGGCTTTAAACAAGTGTGGAAATTCTCCCTTGGTGTGGCTATCTCTGTCGTGCAGCCTGGCAGGGGCATTTTTAACTCCCCTGGAGACCAGCTCCACAGCCCATAGCACCTCTCCCCAGCAGAGCAGGGGGTGCCACAGCAGAGGCAGGTGGGGGGCACCCACGGCGTCCCAGCAGCGGCAGGTACACGAAGACAAGTGACACAAAGGCTGGAAGAGTCAGAATGGAGAGGACTTGTCCTTACTGGCATGTAGGGATCTGCCAGAACTGAGAGGAAATACTTGTGACCGTTGTCCTTCACCAGGTCAGCTTGGCACAAAATGAGACAGAGAAAAACACAATGAGTACAATAGCATAGAAATGATTTTTTCCTCCAGTATTTCACGTCTTCATCATTTTTCTCCAATCTTGTTTCCACCAGGGCCACAACCCACCACCCTGCAGGAGAAGGGCCCACAAGGAGGCACAGGGTCTACCAGGGGACCCTCCACCACGACACAAACAGTAGCTGAAAACATCATCTCCTGCTTAGAAGAAGAGTTAAAGCTGACATCTCTCTGTCCCACATTAAACCTTCACCGGTGTTGGAGAGCCACCAAAGGCAAAACTCAGGATGAGTGTGATTCATTTTTTTTCTTTTTTACATTTATCAGAAAAAAAGAAAAAAAAAAAGTAAGATGAGATCTTCTAAAAGCCCCTTATCTAATTCTCACTTGATTCTCAATCCCAATCAAGGCAATTAGCCCACCATAGATCAGGTTTGCTGCTAATTGCTGCTCAATACCATCTAGTTGTACAGCCAGGTGTCTACCCAAGCAGTGCCAGATCCCAGTGGGACCTGTAATGGTGCCTGGGCAGGGAGCAAACACCTTCCCTCCAGAGGAGGTGATGGCCACGTGGCAGCTCCCAGGAGCCAAGCAGCAGCTCGTGCTCCATGCTCAGAGGGACGTGGGCACTCCTGGCAGTGAGCACACAGCCCAGGCTGCTGCAGGTCTCTCAGGGTCACTCCTCGTCCCCCCAGCTTCCCACTGGCTCTTACCCATGGACTCCAGAACCAGGGAGGGTTTAGGGTGGGTCTGGTCTGTGACCCTTCTTTAATGAACACAGCACCCTCTTCCCCATGGCTCTGGGAGGTGCAGTTTGATAGCACAGTCCTCCCTGGTTCTTTCTGTGCCACTGGAGCAGATTTTCCAGTTCAGGCTGGCAGCCAGGATGGAAGAATGTCTTGGCAGTGTTACCACACATCCTGCACAGGCAGGACAACTCTGGGAGTCTGCTACACACAATAAACCCAACACATGCTCCTCCTACAGTGGCCCCTGAGCCATTACCAGTAACCCTGCACGGGTCAGAGGAGGAATTATTCATTCTTTACATATCCATTCTTTATATTCTGTCCAATCCCCTGCCTAGACAGGACTAGGTTTTGATGAGAAGACTTCAATCCATCTACACAAACAAGACTAATCACTGCATTATTTGGTCAAGCACTGGCATGTATTAAATCAGTCCAGCAGTAGCGTGTGGCAGCATGACACAATCACAGAATCATTTTGGTTGGAAAAGACCTTTCAGATCATAGAGTCCAACTGTTCCCCCAGCCCTGCCAGGTCCCCACTGCCCCGTGTCCCTCACCCCACATCTCCACGGCTTGGAAACCCCTCCACAATCAAACCACACACAATAACAAACTGCAGAGCACCTCGCTGCCTCTAGCAGCCTGTGAGGAGAAGAACACAGGCTTTCCTGGGGGAGGATCAGCAGTGAAGCATGTGGTGTACACCCTGTTTTTCCTAGCATACCAACTCAGGCTTCAGGTTGACATATTAGGGTTAAACTGAAATAATCCATACTACAAAAGTGAAAATGTAAAGAGGAAACACTGACTTGGCAATCAGATTCCCTGTGACTGAGGTTCTATCGTATGCTTCATGCCAGAGACAGCATCATGTATTTTTTATCAGGCGTAGAAGGTGAAGGAGGGAACTAATTGTTAAAAGGAGAGGGGATGGCAAGACAGAGATGCAAGAGAATATTTCATTGCTGAAGGGAGTAGAGATGCTGGTTTTGGCAGACCAAAGAGCAGAGGGGATGGATTGATGCCAGGCTGCAGCTACGAGAGGCTTTCCTGACTTCTGTGTAATGCAGCACAAAGAACAGGCTTCCTTTCCCCCCTGCTTTTCATTCTCAGGGTGAACACTTCATGTTTCCTACAAAACCCAATCTCCTCACTATAATGTCAGCAAACAGACACCAACAAAGAGAAGGTTGCCCATCTTCATACTGCATTTGCTGTGCTGCCACTGTTATCCAAGCACCTGAGGCTCGAGGGAGGGACGTGGCTTCTCTGAAGCCAGCAGACTTGCTCAAACCCTCCCCGCTTGGATCCTGTGAACAACACGGGGAGCCAGCACCACAACACCTCCTCCTCAAGGAATAAGCAGCTACGCTTGTGAATAATAATACAGCATGACCAAAACAAGCTGCAGGCTTGGTGTGAAAGTTCAGAACTTACATAAAATATAAAGTTCCCAGTGCTGAGGAGGGACTCGAGCACAGATCTCCTTTTTCTCCTTAGTAGCATGCATGTGCTCCATATCCCAGCCCTAAAAAATCCCACAAGTTCCTGGAATTCAGCAGCAGTGCTCAGGGGTGCCCTGGGGGCCCACACTGGTCCAGGAACCCTCACTCCAAACCATCCTCAGCAAACACTGAACTTGAATATTCGTATGAATGGCAGGATGAGCAATGGTAGTAACCACCCTGCCAACAAATGCCACATCTGGAAAGCAAGCGTATGATTTGTGGCACCCCCTTGCTTTAAAATGTATGAGGAATGTTTGGTTTCTGTTGCCTTCAGCCAGCTCTTTGGAGCAGTAAGATCTCTGCTTTGCTGTCCCACTCGAGTGGTATTTTCAGTACTGTCTGTTGTGCAGGTTTTTTTTGTCTTGTTTAAAACCCTGAATATAATCCTTATTGCAAGTGGGGGTGTTTTTTTTTCTTCACTAAATTCAAGTATTTAAGATTGAGAAGCTGCTGTTTACCAAACGTTATCAATGTACTGAGTTCTTAACCTGAACTATCTCTGGAAGTGCTGCAGCCATCTCCACGTGGCAGCACACACCAAATCCCACCCAGCAGGGACCACAGCAGGACCTGTGAGCCACCACTCACTCTGCAGCTCTGCAGGCAGATTGTCTAGAAGCCCAGCAGGCTTCAGGCAGAGATGACTAGAGTCCTATGAAAACACATCTGATTATATATGGAATTAAAGCAGATTGATCTAAACTTTCCAGTGTTTATTAGGGACACCTCTGTATTGCACACCAACAATTCTGAGGTGCAGTGTTTCTGTAATGCCCTTGATTTGTCCTGTAATTCTTAGGACAAAAATCAGTTCTCCACAGCATCCCACGCTGACTGAAGGCACCACCCAAATGGAGAGGTGGTGCCCTGTGCTGCTGCCACCTGTCAGAACACCTTCCTCCTGCCACCCTGCCCAGAGGGAGGCAGGGACCAGCACAGAAAGAGGATCTTAGCAGATATTCTGCTCTCCAGGGCACTAGGGAGTCTTATATAAATTGTTCTCAGTCACATCCAAATCCAAAGAGGAATGAGCAATCAGCTGAGCTCCAGTCCTAATGAAAGTCATTTCACCAGCTACAGTCTCCTGAAACCAAACAAAATATATGCACAGGGGACAGCAGACAAAGGAGAGAGACAGCACTGTACAATCATTGGGAGGATGAAGATTATCCTGCAGAACATTTGCAGACAAACACACTCCCATATGCCAGGGGAGCCTGGATGAGGAACCAGAGGAGAGCTGAGGATGCTGCTGCAGAGCATGGCACCCTCAGACCCACACCCCCAGCACTAACAGCCAGTCCCTGTAGCCTAACAACAACTATTGAATGCACCCTTCACTCAGCACTTCCTGCCTCCCTCAGCTGCCCTGCAGCTCTCACCCCTCTGAGTCCTGCAAAGCCCATCTCCAGGACACTGCTCCCCACGGCCCAGGGCACAAACCGTGGCCAGAACACCCCCAGATCATCCCCCCCCCTGCAGCATGCAGATACTGGGTGGCTGCTGGTTTGTTCAGATAAATTTACACCCTGGAAGCGTGGAGGGTTGGGGAAGTGGAGCAGGCTGAACAGAGAACTCAGAATCCACACAACAGGCAGGCTGCAAGACTGGGTCGTGTCAACCTGCTCAAAATTCAGTTTGTTTCAGAGAGAAATGGCCAAGCCTTGTGTCAGCAGAGGAGGGAAAGGACATGTCTGTATTGATACGTAGCTTATATCACAAAAGTGTTCTTTTAGCTTCTGATACGATGAGCTTTTATTCCCTTTAGTGTGACAGCTGGAGCTGGTGCCTGTCCCCTCCCTCAGCAGCACCCACTGCTGGAGCTGCCCCCTCCTCACCTGCCCCGTTTGTTTGTGGGGCCAGCGAGTGAAACAGCAGAAAGAGCTCCAAACACAACATGTAAGAGCATCCTTCCTGTTGCTTTCTCATAAAGCACAGCCCACCACAGGAGTGATGCAACACAGCAGAGCACAGGAGGGGGCAATGCTGATGCTGGCACAAGGTGTAAGGAAAGGAGCCCCCTCAGGCTGGCTTCACCAACCCATTGAGGGAGGGCACGACACCTGGGGGTTGGACTAGAAGATCTCTAGAGGTCCCTTCCAACCCCAAACATCCTATGGCACTCTGTGGGAATTATACATGAGCCTACTCTGAAACATACCTGGGGCTGAAGCGTCAGCCATCAAAAATAAGCTGCTCAAGAGTAGCTTTAAGATGAATAGTTTTCATTTTGTTTGCTTTCCAAAACCCTCTCAGGATGTTAATGAAAATATATTTATAAAACTAAACCTGACAACACTAGATCAACAGTGGGGAAATTCCAACAAATTCAATATGATTCCCCATGCTGAAATGGAAGAGATAGAACAGAAATAAACTCCCAAATAGGCAAGATCCAACTTCTACAAGCAGTTCAGACAATTTTGTATCAGCTTATTATCACGCCTGCAATTAACTGTGTGCACCACTGCTAATAATTTTATATCGCTCAACTAATTGCACCCACAAAGCACAGAGTCATGTATATGACTATACAAATTATCTGCAGCTACTTACCTGCTTAATTATTTATTTTAAATCCAACAAACTAGAGCTCTAGCTAAGGCTGCCTTCAATAATCAGGGCTTAGCTTTTCAACCTCACGCCAAAAGGTGCCAGAATATTGTAGAGAAGACCAGAATCACAGACCCATGAGAGGAGTAACTGGTCTCCTGTGGGGGGGTGAATACTGTGCCAACCATCTTCAACGTGGCAGCACGACTCCCAAGACTATCCACAGCCTGCTTTGATAACTGACCCAAACAGTCTTGAAGAAAACAGGTTTGATCACCATCTAAAGTGAACAAATTGAGGGAGAGGATGAGCATGTGGATGTGTGCTCTCACCTGGGAAGAGGTGACAGAAGGTATGAGTGTGTTTGAGCCCCTTCAGTGAACAGAGCAATATCTTTCCCAAGAAAGACACAACCAGTGAGATCTGATGGCTTTCACCTAGAGCACCTACACCCTAGAACCAGAGGAGGGATGAGGAACTGTGGGATGTGAGCATGACACTGCAGCACTGAGAGACCTGGGCAGGCATGAAGAGGTGGGCAGCAAACCTACTGAAGCCATCAGCACCTTCATGGGGGCTCCCCATTCCCAAAGTTCCAGAAGCCAGCTTCCATACAAGCCCAGTAAATTAGTAAGATAATATGCTGCTCTGCAGCTAAAGCTGTGTGGTTTCAAGTTTAAAATGACTGGATAAAGCACATGGGGAGGAGTGGGGGAAAGGCAAATCACTGAAACCCGAAAGAAACAGCCAAGCTCAGAAGTACTCACACTGTCCACTGGAGTACCTCAAGTTTAAAATAACTGGATAAAGCACATGGGGAGGAGGGGGGAAAGGCACATCACTGAAACCCGAAAGAAACGGCCGAGCTCAGAAGTACTCACACTGTCCACTGCCAGAATTTTGGCCCAGATGAAGACGAGGAGTGGTCTCAGCTCACGAGCTGAACTCTGAAGTAGCTTCAGCACGTAGGGGAAGATGCCAACAGACAGGGCCTGGGGAGCCAGAGAGAAGAGCAAACCCTGGTGAGGGGCTCGGCGGCGCCGCGCGGGGCAGGGCCGAGCCCCGGGTGAGAGGCAGCACGTTTAATGACACAGATGAGCAATCTGGCAGAAAACAATTTCATACATTTCTAGTAAAAAGGAGATCCCTGTGTATTTGTCTATTGCTCATTTTAATCTTGGATGTCACCAGATATTTTCAGACTCATTTGGTCCACAGAGACTCGGAGTTAATCTAGCACCAGCTTCTACTCATTACAGCCTGTGCTATTTTGTGCTTCATGATAGGTTGTGCTCTCCTCAGATAGGGCCATTTGCTCTCACAAGCAAACATATTGCAAAAGCTCAGTAATTACTGCCTTCCCCCTGGAAATTAAACGGGCCTCTCGCCTTACACAGACTTTTTACCAAGCCTTCTGCATGAGAGACTGTGCTCACAGGAGGCCACCCAACACGTGGAGCCTGCACATCTCACTGTGATTCTGACACCCCCCAAAGCACAGAGGAAAGGCCAGGCTCAGGGGGGGTCCACCCACACAACCTGCCACCCCATGACATGGCCAGCAGGGTTTATACAGCACATAACAGCCAGAATGAAGGCCACTGTGGTTATCTGCAGCTCTGTTCTGAGCCTAATATAAGTTTACAATCCAGAGGTCCTAAAACCACCTCTACTGCATGTTGTCTTCCTACCACTGAGGGTTAAGCTGTTTGCAAAGGCAAGTCTTGGCTGGGATGAAGGCAGAAGGTGAAAAAACCCCCCTAAAACATCCCATCATCGAGCTATTCTATGATCAGCTGCTGGCTTGTCTTCATCACTTTCATCAGCAAGTAGCTCCATTTACAAGTGTTTTAAACTGCTCCTCTGTTTAATCCTTATTTATCACCTGCACGGTGCCAGCCACTTTCCAAGATGCAGAAGGCAGCTGCTGCCTCCTCAGAAGAGCTTATAAAATCCAGACACCAAACAGATAAAGGAAGAGAAGAAAATCACACAGCCAGGAAGCCAAGAGGACAGATAACAAACATATGTGCTATTTTTTTGTTACTTTTTTTATCTTATTTGTCCCAGATATTTCCTCCTTTCTGGTCTTCCAGTATTTTACCCTAACCTATTCCCATGGAACTCCTCTTTGTTGCAAATGAACAGCTATTCAGCCTTTTTGATTAATACAAACCACTTTTCTTTTATGGATGCTTGCTCCAATTTCACACACATGAACACTTAAAACCCTGGTCATTTGTCAAATCCACCATCTTCTCCATCTTCCTCCCATCCCTCAGCATTTGTATTTAGCACCCCTGCTGAGGGAAGGCAGCCTTGTGCAGGAGGGTGTGCAACAGCCACGCACCAAGCTCACGGCCCAGGGACCCAGATCCAAAAATCTTCCCAGGAGATCGAGGGCTCGCAGGCGATGGACCTGGCTCAGCAGCACCTGCAGAGGACAGGGACAGGGTTACTGCTGGGGACACCAAGGGCAGAAGCCAGAGGCCCTCGGGAGCCTCACCTCCCCTTGAGCAAAGCAGGGTTGGAAGGGAGGAGCTGGAGGACAAAGGCTGAGTGCAAACAGTGTCCCCCCAGGGGGTTACTGCCCTCCCACAAGAGCCCCTGGGGGAAGCTGTGCAGGGTCCCCAGGCCATGGCTCCCCTGCTGCTGCTCCCCCAGGCCCAGCAGGTCCCAGCACAGCCCTGCTAGCTGGGAGCAGCCCCTGCAGATTGCAGCTATCTCCTCGTGCTGCCTGTCCCCAGTGAAGCAGGGCCACGACTCTGTCTGCAGGAGGAATCCACAGTGAGCCAAAGGCCCAGCCTCCCATTACTCAAACCAGCTCAGAAGCAGAAAAAGAGGCTTTGCCTTCCTTGGCAAATCGATGTAAGAGACTTAAGAGGGAAGCAAAAGGTCACATTAGTCGTTAATAAAAATCTCATTAAAACAGAGTCTGACAACGATAATGAGGTGGTAGTTTACTGGCTTATACCTACCCTGGTGTGAAATATTAACAGACAGACTTTCAGTTCTTAATCTCCTTAGCAGATGTAAGATATTGGAATGCAACGTTTAATCCTCAGTTTAGATGGAGGAACATCCCTCAGCACAGGTCTCAGGGAAATGATTTAGCTCCACAATTCCATCCCCTTTTCAGTGTTTTTCCACACTGCATATTCAAATTAAATTTATTTTTCATGTTTAATATCGAAGAATAACTAAATTACTCACATCATGTCTCACACTATGGATGACTGATACTAGATACTAAAGTTGTGCAGAAAAAGTCCAGAAGAAGAAGAAGAAATCAGGAGGCTGTGTTAACTACTTCAGTAGTTTCACCTCTGACTATCAGAGCTCGGGTCTCAGGACAGGTCACAGGAGAAAGGACTCTGGTCATCCTGCCCCAGTTGGCACCAGCCTATTCTATAAACTTACTACAGAACTTGGCACGATTAACACTGGGCTTTAAAGGTGCCCAGTGGAGGAATCACAGGGGCAGCTGCTTGAGATTAAAGCAGTAACAGACACCAGGGCAGGGCTGACCCTCCAGCCAGGGCCAGGTCAGGTCCTGGTGCTGATGCCAGCGATGGGAGACTGGCAGATCTGGCAATGCTGTTATTAGCTGACCTTCAGAAGGACAAATAAATCCACAAATTCTGTCATAGCTAGGGAAAAAATGGATGTAATTGAAAATGATTTGCAGGTGAAGACACGAATGCACATCCCAAAACTGCTGGCATCCCACAAGAACCTTTAACCCAATCAACCTGTGTCTGATGCTAAAAGCTCCATGTCATTGTTTTCTAAAACAGGAACAGCCATCAGCCTGTCAGGTTTTTGTATTCCCATTTCCCAAACTGCCCTGCACAATAACCTGAAGCCAAAACTGACACAAATTCTAGAGACTGGGCTGAGGATGTGGGGAGTCTCTGCACAATTGATGAACTTTCAGTGAAGTTAGGAAAGGGCTGCACAGACAGCAGCGTGTCACATCCCACCCTGACATCCACATCCATCCTTAGTCCCAGACAGGAGCCAGGGAAGTTTACTGATGGCCACAATGCAAGTCAGAGGCTAACCACGACATGAGGGGATGGTAGCAGTCCATAGCAGGAATCCCCAGTGCCTGCAGGACAGCAGAAGGGGCTGCAGCAGTGGAGTAATGCTGCTCTCATCTGTGTGCACTGGAGATCACATGGCAGGAGGCACCTCCACAGGGTCAAGCACCTGCTGCTCATGCTGGTTCTGGCTGTGCATGTCCTCATTTCTCTTGGACACCACACCAGGAAGCCACCCGTGTCCAACCTGCCCCACGCAGAGCAAGAACTCGAGATGGAAAGCAACTTCCTGAAGGCCATTAGAAGGCCATTTATGAAGGACTGTTTCCCTGTCCTTGACCACTCCAAGCTCTGCATGGCTGGCATCATGGCCCTGGCACTCAAATGCCTTATTTCCCCAGGGGAACATCTAAAATGGGGAAACAGAACCAGCCTTTGTTAGGCTACAGCAGCAGAGTCAAAGGGCTCCCAAGGAGTCAGGGCCAAAAGACACTCCAAAGGGGTCAGAAATGCACCTGCCTCCTCCTCACAACCAGTTGGTCTCTGACTTGAAGTATTTCAAACTTGTTAACAAGCAATCTTATTCCACTCTATAATGAATATGCTGTAATTATAAGAATAAATTCCTCGTGCTGGCTCCAGGAAGGAAAGCAGGTTCCTTTGCCAGGTGTCCTCTCAATCCCACCACAAGGTTACGCTACCTGCTGAGCCTGCTGGTGCCAAGTGCCTGACTGGCAAGCAGTGAGGGAGTGCTGGGGGGAAGCCTGCCTCCTCCCATTGCAGGGATGGAGACAAACCACACCTCTCTTCATCCAGCTCATCTCCCGAGCCTTGGAAGGCTCAGGGAAATTAAGATTTTGCTTTACAGAGATGGATGGTGCTGTCAGTCACAAAGCAAGCTGGTGGCTAACAGAGGGACAACAAGTCCTCTTGCATTTAGTGAAGGAACTCACATATCCTTGTGCAAGCCACAGGAATCACCTTCCTTTAAAACAGAGACTCCTTGTGCAAGCCACTGGAATCACCTTCCTTTAAAACAGAGACTAAATTCTGCTGCCTGGTAGAGGAGAGACCTCAGCTACCTTGATGAGGGCTTATATTTCTGTCAGTACAAACTCCTGGGGAGGACAAGAGCAGATGACAATTGCAATATGTGCCTTGCCCTAAAATATTGTTTGGAATGAGGTGTTCTGATTCTCTTAGATTTACTTCACCTTCATACAGAGGAACTTTGTCTGCTCTGAGCAAATGCCTCCTAGAACTCTACACAGTCTTCAGAGACTTTTTTCTACATTCTTGCAGCAAAATGTCACATTAAAGAGAACACTTCCCAGGCTGCACCAGGCAGATAAAGAAGCCATTTCCAAACTGTTCACACTGCAGTAACTTCCACTTTCTGAAATCAGAGAGAAGATAAAGTCTGCCTGACAGAGCTGGCGCGCAGGAGGAGATCCTACAGGAGGAAAGCAGTGAGGTGTGCTGCTGTGCCCAGTGGTGCCACCCCAGCAGGGGCACAGCCTGGCTCTCACCTGCAGGACGATGGGGAGCTGCTCGGGGGGGTTGCGGTTCTCCACGCCCATGGTCAGCCACACCTGGAACGCCGTCAGCTGCTCCGCGAAGAAGGGGCTGTGCTGGGGGAGCAAGGGCAGCACCACGGGTTGGGTTAGCAGGAAAAGAAAATCAAAAGAGTCAAGCAAATGGTTTCAGGACTCGCAGTTATTGCTTCTAAAACTATTTTTTTATTCTTGATGTGTTTATTTGGAAGTGAATTTTAAGGTCATCGAGTCCAAGCCAACACTGCCGAGCCCACCACTGCCCCGTGTCCCTCAGCAACACATCACAGCTTGAAACCCCTCCAGGGAGGAGACTCCACCACTGCCCTGAGCAGCCTGGCTCCAACCTCTCTTCAAGGAGTTGTCGAGAGCCAGAAGATCTCTAGACTCTTCCCCAGCTTCGTTGCCCTTTTCTGGGACACACTCCAGCCTCTCAAGGACCTTCTGAGAGGGAAGGGCACAGAACTGACCCCAGGATTCAAGGTGCAGCCTCCCCAGTGCCCAGTCCAAGGGATGATCCCTGCCCTGCTCCTGCTGGCCACACTATTTCTAATACACTAAATTGTATACAAATTTTTCAAAGACTGGTCTGGCAAGGAGAAGGAAAGAGCAGAGAAACAGGAGAAGATAACACACAAGGTCCTAGGGAAAGCTGGTTAATCTTTTCCAGACGAGCAGCAGGTAGAACAGCAGCAGATCTATCTGCTCAGCAGAGGCAGCTCTGCTCCTGTGGCAGCACTCAGCTCTACCTCTGCCAGGTCCAACAACCACAAAAATATGTCTGTGCACAGCTTTGTCTTCCCTGGCTGCCACAAACCTCTCCTACACACAGGCAGGGATTCAGACGTGCTGGTTTGGGCTGTATGGAGGCTGCCTCCTGTTTATCAGGTTTATAATTCAATCCTTTCATCTCTCTATCCATGACTTCTGGCACCAGCAACGTAGTGAAAAGACTTCATACAGGCAAACAAAAAAACAGAAAATTTACTTAAGATATTGAATCCACAAATTGAATTAGAGATAGTCTGATAGTGTGGGTAAAGGAGCATAAAAATAACACACAGAGTACTATAGTATTTAACAGACTTTACACTAGTGCCCTACTAAGGATCCAAGGGATGGGCTGAACCTCCAGCAGCTCACCCCTACCAGCTGTACTTTGGTACTTGGTGTTTAAGACAGTAAATCACATTACTCTACCACGGGCATCTGAATGGCATCACACCAAGCACAAGCTGGGTAGGAGAAAGTACCAACAAAGCACATTGCAGCTTCCAGTCCAGGATCTACAGGAAACCAGTAACCAAGGGGGAAGGAGGCAGGGAAGGGATGGGAGGGGGGAGAGTGAACCAACCCAAATGGACCAGGAGCCCTGTCCCTGCCCTGTCACCCCCATGCAAGCACTGGGAGCCCTTGGGCTCTTCACCAGGTTGTCCTGTTTGCTGGTTCTGACTAGGATGGAACACGTGGTGGATGAGCAGCAGTCAGGCACACGTGGTTGATCACGTGCTGCTGAGCCAGAACAGCCCTGAAGAGATTATCAGCTGCTCTACCCAGGGCAGCCTGGCCTCTGGATGCCAGTGGGCTGCAGGGGATCCCCTGGAGCAGAACCCCCTGGCAAAGCTCAGTGCCCCCTGCCCAGCCCTCCCAGGATTACTGCTGGCCAGCAGCAGCCACCCTTCTCTGACACACAGGGCTTCTTGCTGGGCAGAAATCAAGAGGTCTGAGGGCAGAACATTCATCAGAACACAAGGAATAGGTCAGAGAAGTGCAAGTGTCTGTCTGCTCCGACTGCTCGTCACAGAGCAGAACTGAGCCCCTCCCACTCCAACAGCCCAGTTCCATATTCCTGCAGGTGCCTCAGAGAGATGTTCAACAGGTTACTAACACCTGTCCCCTCTGCACAGAGCAGGCACAAACCTACAGGTTCCAGTCACTCTGGACTTTAACCTAAAGGGTGAGGAGGAGCTCAGGAGGACCCGGCCCTGCTTGGGAACTCCTGGTACTCAGGCTCCCAGCTGCCACTCCACCTCCAGAGCTCTGCCCACCCCAGGTTCCGGGCCAAACACATTAGAATTTACATTTGTCTGGCTTGAAAACCTGATTGCAAATAGTTTCCACCCTCTCTTGAATCAATCACTAGCTGAGAACGACCACTCTTGTTCACTGGCCTCTTGTCTCACCCCGACCAAGTGTGTGCCTCTCTCAGCCCTGAAACACACAGAAATGTGCTGAATTTCAACTCACAAGTGGGAAGTGCATGCTCAGACGAGGTCTAAGCCTCATATAAAAGCAGCCACTGACATTGGTAGAGGCCTGAAGTAAAAATGAACTTAAGCCAGGAAAGGAAAAATATGTGTTTAGATTTTAAACTAGCCCATAGAGTGGAGAAAGAAAGGGTTGGGAGGACAAAAGCCTGAGGCCATCCTTATCAACCCTCGCCTTTGCACAAGTCCCCAGCTCTCCTCCTGCACTCAGCTCTTTGGAGACAACCTGTAACCACAGCCAGAAGACCTCTTGGAAGCTTGGTAACATAAATAAAATGCCAGAACGTCACAGTAAAATTAGCAAGAACATCACAGTTGAAGGGGTATCAGAGATGTTACAGTGATTATTACTTAAAGGTTTCCATTCATGAAATGCCAAAGGAATGTCAAGAAAAACTCATTCTGACCAGAGGAATTTAAGCCAAATATAATATTAAAAATTTTACTTTACTGCTCTCTGAGATTAACTGAAGCAGAAAACCCCCCAGTGACTCCTACAAATGACACCACGCTTAAGAAAGCTCTTTGGACATTCCCTCAGCCTCAGTTTTATGCTTCTCTGAAAAATACTTTAATAAGACTTTTTTTTTTTGGTAACAATGCTGTCAGACAAGACTGAGTTCTCTGAAAACTTCAGTCAGGTCTCAGGCACCATTTCTGCTGGCAGGAGTCTCCTCCTGACCCACAGCTGTGGGCTGAAGCTGTCCTCTCATCCAAGAGTGAAGAACTGAACGTTGCTTTTCTGTCTATCCCTCTAAGGGAGGAGAACAGAGTTTTCCAAAAATATAAACCCTTAAACTGCAACAATTCAAGACTCAACAAGCAAAAGTGATACACTAAACTGAGGTTTCAAATAATGGGTTAAACTGGGCACACAACATTTCAGGATATTATCCAGCTTACCCTGAAGGCCGTTCCTTCCTCTATAATTGTAGGTAACTGGGAAAGGCAAATATCCACTGCAAGGTCCCACGCTTGCCTGGGGAAGAAGGGGAAAGAGGGAGGAGAAGTTGTTACAAGTTGTTCATAAGTAACAGGAATGTAAATCTAAACTCTGACCATGCCAGTGTGTGGACAAAGCAGTGCTGTCTGACTGCTTAGAGGTGCTTTGTGTTCCCTCTTTTTAAAAAGGCAAATCTAACACAGGAAACTATTCAGAAGAACAGGTCTAGTCCAGCATCCTATCAGGCTGACCAACAAAATGTGAGTGAGGTGAGAAGATCCCAGCTGAAGTTCACAGACACTGCTCTTCTCTGTAACAGAGGAAGAAGCCAGAGTGAATTCAAGTCTTATTATACAACTGTCCTCAGGCAAAATGGATGAGTTTTTTTCTAACTAGAAAAAGGAATTTAGTGGACTCTAACCAAGCCAACTCTCCTTTTCCACCCCCTGACACGGACCCTGTGTCACTGTGCACGTTGCTGAGAGAAGTAACTCAGCCTCCACTCATCCAACACTGGGCTGGGGGTTGTGTGGCCACCCTCAAAGCCTGGCTCTACATAACCCACCCCAAGGATGGAGAGATGCAGCCTAAAGTAGAAGAAGAAAACATTTAAAGATTTAAATTTTTATACTTACTTAGTATATTATTTAATGGCTGAAGTATTGAGACTTACAACACTTTAGTATTACAGTTATAACAGCATGTAAACCACATACAGTGGCCAAGGAACCTCTTGTGGCTGACCCAGGGCAAACAAAAACGTCCCAACAGCCTGCTTCAAGATGCTCCCAAACTCAGACCAATGCATCGGGTCTCAAAAGTTCCTAAAACACCTCCAAAAAAGTGAAACAGCCAGTTTCTACCCCAGAAATGATTATCCCTGCTCTACCCGTAGATGTTCCACACATTTCTCATTTGCACACATGAATTTATGGGCTCAGGAAGGCCAGGGAGTTAACCCACCACCTGCTGGGTTCCTTACAGAAGAAACTAATTTACTCTCCAGACACATTTGCTCTTCCAGGGCTGGTGGCCATCACGTGTTAACCTCGCTGGGATAAGCAATTTTTCCTCTCCTAGGAACATTTGCAGACCTGAGGCCATAGGTGATAATCAATACAGTGTATTTTAGTTACCTGCTCTGATAAGTTCTTAAATCTCCCTGGTTTGAGTCCAACAAAGCTTTCCACTAGAGCAGCTGCCGAGCAACACCTCCCCCATCAGCCTGACTGGCAGCTGTTCTCAGCCAAAAACAATTGCTCCAATTAAATGGAAAAATAAACTACAAGGCTCTTGCATTTTTAGTATGAATTCAAGAGATGCAGCTTGGTTTAGTTGCCCCAGACCTTGTTCCTCTGCTTCACAACATCCACCTTCCACATGACAATCTGCTGCCAATATAATTAAGAGGTAATCAAGAGATAATCAAAGCATGGGCAACAAATACTTCCCACGTGCTCAATAAAGACTCATGCTGGAGACAAAATGTTTACAGAGCTGATGAGGGAGAGATTTATTCCTGCTTGAGAGAGAGGTGAAGTCAAGCAGTGCAAATAGAAAGATAATTTCACTTCAAGCAAAGAATGAACATTTCTGACTTTCAGGTTTCCTGAAGGAGTGGGCAAGGCCACCTCAAGAAATTATCCCAAACGCTGGAAAATGTCAGCACATAGTACCTTGGAGGTAAGTTTTCCTACACAGAAGAAAAATGGTTCAGAGATCAGAGACAACGAGTCTTATTTTGGCTGCCTGTAAAGGATTCTGGGTGGGTCATTGTACTGCTGAGGCACAGAGCTAAGATGCTGAGCTTCTCCAAGTCATTTTAGGCAAAAAGCACTAATACTGCTGTAAAAAATGTCCAAAGCAGCTCAGCAAGGTCAAATCTCAAAGGTTTTAAGTGTTGTCAGAAAGAACATACAAAAATTTAAAGATATTTTATAAGATAAAAATCACAATTATTTTTTTTACACTTCTAAAAGCAGGCCATTGAGAATCCATACATCCAGCCAGAGTGACTCCACCTTTCCAAGGAGTCACCACCAACCTAAAACCCAAACTGCCCTGCCCATCATCACCTGGGGAGCTGCTGATCAACACCAACTGCCTACAGACCCTCAGTAGCTCAGATAATTACCATGACACTAATCCCTCCAGCCTTTCCCAGCCCACCCCTTCTGCTGTCTCTGCAGGAACAGCCCCCACCCCATCCCACCCCCCAAGACACAGAGAAAAGCAACAGCAGCTTTGCCTAAAGTGAAGCTTCACTATTTCCAACTACTAGAGCAGCTGCACATGACTTTTGAGACTTTAGATTGTGCACGAGTTGCAATGCAGGTAACTCACTGTGCTGGCAAAATAGATGGTGGCATTAAAATAATTAAAATATTCAAAACAAGCCACAGAAGAGTGGTAAAGGACCAACTCCTTGGAGTATGCAAAGAGAAACAGAAGGAAAAAAGACTTGTTAACAGTCAGAGAGAAAATACTGGCTGCTGGTGGAGGGGAGGAGGAGCAGTGATTGACTGGTTTAATATGCCAAGGGGAAGCAGGAAGGTGGGCAAATTGCAGATGTGCTCACCGAACTAATATTGCACTTTAGCACACAAACAAGAGATAAATTAGGGAGCAGCAGGGGAACAGGGCTGGGTGGTGCCACATCCCAGCAGTGATTTATGAAAGCCAGCCCAAGAGATCACTGCTTCTCCTCCTCCTTTGCCAGACTGCTGTTTGCAAAGTGCTTTGCAAGATTTGTTTTCACTACGTTAGGCAAAAAAGAGCTCAGGGACACCTCAGCATTGTTCCCTCCTCCCTCTGCTGCACAATTCCAACCACCCCGGGCCCCACGCTGTGCCAAGACAACCCTGTGAGTATCCACTGGGTGCTACCTACTGAATCAAAGCAGTGTTCAACATCACTGTGTGGTGCTACTGAAGGACACGTCACTGAGCTCTGTTATACTACGTTTTCTTAATTGCTCTGTGGGTACAACAAATTGATAGCATGCTCACCTAAGAAGAGAGGACATCTCCTCTTTGTACAGCCCAGTGAAGTCAGAAGCCATCACAGACTTAACTTCTTTTTTAAAACTTAACAGTTGAGGCACATTCCTTTCATGTCTCCCCAAAAAGGGCAACAAAACCAAGCAAGCCCAAGCAGCAACTGATGGGACCAAGCCCAGAGGATTTCCACCACACACCATCTAGCAGGAGGTGGCCACTTCCACATGGTTTAAACCCAACATGCATGAGGCAGCAGCTGGGAAGAACCTGGGGAGAGACACCAGAGGTGTGGAGCTGGAGTTACCCCCCAGCCCTCACACCACAGTTCCAAAGCTTTGTTCTGCTCTGGCCACACAGCACGGCCACAGTCACCCACAGGCCTGCTCAGGACCTGGCAGCTTTCACAGCAGCAGATCTCAAGGGAGACAAAAACAATCCCATAAAGAGAGGGGTCAAACCCACAGATTTTCAGCTGTGGTAGGACAGAGGACTCCCTGGGTTCAGCTGCTGAGAACGTACTTAATCTCATGCATTCCCCATGTGTATTTCAGAGTAAATGTCTGTTAAATCCTCTCCTTAGCTGGAAGACTGATCAGCTAAAAGCACTTCCTTGCCTGTGTTTTTATCCAAAGAAGCCAAGCCCTGCAGCAGGCCAGCAGAAGAGCCTGTGAGGAGAACAGGCCACCAGTGCCCTGCATCTCCAGCCACACGGATCAACCCCTCCAACGAGGCTCCCAGCACAGCAGATGCAAACACACACTGCATTTCAGAGCACAGGACACCTGCAGATGAAATGGCATTGCTCCTCCAGGATTTGACAATGAAAATTAACCAGTGAAATAGCTCCCCTGAATTCATTCCAGTTCATTTCACTTCAGTAGGACTGTTTAAACCTTTAATACTTTAACACGGACTCACCCAGCTGCCTTTATTTTGTTTCCCAGAGGTGCTGCAAAGTTTGGACTTCCAAGAGCAGAAGGCCAAGAGTTCCAGCTTTGCTCAGTGCCTGTGTTATTGTGCAAATCCATGAAACATTCCAGAATGGAAGCCCTCAGGAACTTTGACAGCAGAAGTGGAACACAGTTACCAAGACATGTTCCAGTCTTTCTTCACCCACAGCTGCCACAGTAGCTGTTAGATCATGAGGGCAGATCTCACACTCACATTTCCTGGGCTGAGTTAATGTCTAATGCTTTTCATTCTAATCACATTTTTTTTCTAGTGCATTGTTGATGGCTTTTAACATTCTCTCTTTTTCTGGGAACACTTTGTATTATATTGCACTGCACATAATATTAGTGAAAATGAGTATTTCTTAGTGGGACAGTCATGCTGAGGAGCAACTAAAGGGAAGGTGGAGGGTCTGTGGAACATGTCTTAGGAAGAGCAGCTAAGGGAAATGGGATTGTTTAGTCTGGAGAAGAGGAGGCTGAGACCTTGCTCTCTACAATTCCCTGAAAGAAGGCTGGAGTGAGGTGGGTGTTGCTCCCTTCTCCCAAGTAATTAGTGACAGGACAAGAGGAAATGGGCTTAAGATCCACCAGGGAAGGTTTAAATTGCACGTTAGGAAGAATTTAGTTCCTGGCAGAGTGCTGAGGTGTTGGCCCAGGCTGCCCAGGGAGGTTGTGGAGTCACCAGCCCTGGAGGGATTCCAAATTTGTGTAGATATGGCACTTGAGGACATGGTTTAATGGTCATGGAGTGTTGGGCTGGTGGTTGGACTTGATGATCTTAGAGGTCTTTCCCAACCTTAATGATTCTGTGATTCCATCTGCAGTCTTGGGGCTCAGGCACCAGGCACTGGCTTGGTTCAAACCATGTTTCTGGAACTGTTAAACATTTCAGACTTTATCAAGTACACCGGACAAGATTTTTCATGTTTGTTTTTTTCTGCAAGGACAATTCCACAGCACACCCTGTTTGATTGATTTTCAGATTTCAGCCTGCACTCACTTGATTTGCAGTGACACTGAACTCTCCCAGCCTGCTTTAGGGGACACAGCTGGGAAGCTGCTCAGACACTGTTATTTTTTAAAAAAAAAATATTTATTGCTATGACTATTTGGTACAACTATGAAATCCTTTCTTCTACCAGTGCATCCTCTGGCTCTGGCCACAATTTAAAGCACATGCTTTGCAATTTTTGTCCTATTTCTCTCCACTAAACGACCTGCAATTCATGAATGGGTCTTGAAGATGTTAACACTAACACACAGATGCACACACACAAAAAATCTGGTTAACTGCAACACCCACACAGGCTCCAGCTCCTCTCACCTGGAGTTCTGTTCCTCTCAGATGCTTTTCTTCTCAGCTAGAATTTCCAGCTTGTCTTATTTGCAGTCCATTATGACTTACTTTCAGCCAGAATTTCCTGGTTGGTGTATACACCATTGCAGTATTTCTGTTATGGACAAATCATAGCTCTTCCAAAGCATAATTAAGGTAACTTTGGGTTTAATATACGACCTACGTTAGGAAATATTTCCAAACACATTATTAGGCCTTTTCAAAGGCCATGAATATAACTTGCTGGCAACAGCAGTAATGGAGAAACCATAATCCATCATAAGAGAGATCAAGATGCTGACAGAGCATCAGGCCTCCTATTCTTACTGCACAATAGATGGAACGAGTCTCGAAGCTGAACAGCACAGCCAGTCAATCAATATATATTAATATTAATACTTTTATTATAGTAGTGCCTGCAGCAGCCAAGAACCTACAGTGCAAGGTACTGAACAAATACAAATAAACAGCCTGTGCCCAGAAGGGTTTAAGCCTAAGCAGGTAAAAGAGAAAGCCAATAAAAGTAAGAGAGACACAAAGAAATGAAGTAATATGTTCGAGCCTACCAAAGAGGGTAAGGTCACAGAGATCATCTCTCCTGATTCCCAAATATGATGCCCTTCTTGGGGAAATAAAAAAAACTGATAGCTTGTGGGTCAAATTTTCCCTCAAAAGGTGAGTTTTCACGTTTCTTCAAGTGTTCAGGGAAAAAGGATAATCAAGACAAGAGGTGGTAACACTGGTCCACCAAACAAACTGACTAGAACAACAATTTAATAGGTCAAAATGTTAAAAAGTTGTTTCCAAAAGGACTAAACCAAAAGGAACAGAAGCCCATCTCTCCATCAGCCTCAGTGCTTCTACAACCACGGAGATCCTCCAGTCACCACACATTTGAGTGTGACTCCAGGAAAACAGTCAAACAAGCAGAGACAAAGGTAAGCAAAGAAGATAAAGAGCAAATGCTCCAGATGTAATGTTTGAAAAGGGGCAGTCGTCATGATTCATGAGGTAAACTGATGCTGAAGTCCAACTTAAGGAGCATTTTGCAGCGTGTGCCCCCTCCAGCACCTCCCAGTCAGCTGCTGGCCACCAGCCTCGCCGGGCTCTCCCACGGCTTCCCCCTGGAGCTGGCAGAGCTCCCTGGTCCAGCTCCAGCCAGCAGGGTGGGAAGCAGGGACACTCCCTGCAGGAGCTCTTTCTGCCCCTGCCCCTCCCACCACCTGCAGGATGCTCCCAGTGAGAGTCCCAAGGCTGGTGCAGAGCACCACGAGCACAATCCCTGGCTGCTGCTGCGACGAGCTGGGAGGTCAGGGGGTGTGTGCAGGTTCTGAGGAGCTGGTGGGTTTGCTGCTACTCTCACTGAGACAGGGACATTTGCTCATGCCTTTTCTGAAAAAAATGGTGCAAAAAAGGTGCTAGCATACAAGAGGAGTTTGCTTCTCCAGTCAGCCTGCTGCTGGGATGTGTGTGAATGATGTCTGTTTGCAGACCCCATTTTCAGTCACTGTCTTGGCTGTGGATGTGCAGAACAGCCTGTGTCCATAACAGCAGAGGAACACAGTGTGATCTTATCTGACCTGTGTGAATGAAGGAACAAAGCCCCAGAGCAAGACATATAAGCATCCAGAGAATAATGGAAGAGAGAAGACTATCTGTACATATATATCAGGGAAACTGAAGCATCACATCACTGCTTAGGCTGCAAGCAACAAACCAGACCCTGAGCCAAGAACACATGCCTGGTGCACACAGGATCATGGTGAAGGGTGTGAGGCCCTAAACCAACCCAAATAAACAAAGACCAAAAAGGTCTTTTTGGTCTTTGAAAGGGGGAGGAAGAGGACAAGGGGCACAGAAGTCCCTTAAGGCCTGAAGTCAGATCCTGGAGGAGCACTGGCTGACACACCCCAGAGCCAGTCTTGGCATCCACTATGCATTTGCAGCACTGCTGGAGAGAGTCTGGAGGTTCTTGCCCACCACTTGCACATCAAAGGACTGCTGATGATGCAGCAGCCAGGACTCCTGACACTGCCTGACAGGCTGGGTATGAAAAAAATCTGTGAAAAGTCTCAATAAAACAGCAATCAGCAAAAACTTGCTGCATCATCTGCCACGTACCAATGACGTGGTCATTGTTAGATGTAGGTTCAACGTGACATCAAATCACAGTGTTTGAAGTTTCCACTCTTCTCAATGCTCCCTTGGCCAACTCTCCTGCCCCCCAGTCACATTACCTAGTAAAATGGGTTTGGAGGTTTCAGATCAGGGATCCATTAGATTATTCTTGAATGAAAGGTAATAGACAAATGCAAATGATTATTTTTAGAAAATATTTAAGCAAGCCCTAATTTAGTTTCTAAATCTGTTCTTACTGAAAGTTCATAAAAATTAACTCAGCCACCTCTGATATAAGTGGAATTTTCCCCTTTGCTAGATTTGCTTCAAGCTGCACATTTTTTGGAGGACACTGAGTAAAGTGTGTCAAGGGATCCTCTGCTCACTTGCTGTTTGCTTTGCTAGTGTTTGGGATTCACAAGGAAAAAAAACCCTGGATGTGACTTTTCTTCTTCTGGTAAATCCTAAAAAGCAGCAACAACGTCATTATCCACAGGGCTTTACAGAGGTATTTAGGTATTTAAAGCACCATTTTGCACCAGAAGAACTACAACCTAGGTTTCTTGAAACCACTGTGCTACCACGCAGGTCTAAGAGATACAGAACAAGATCCAGGTCTTCCTGGTTTCATTCCTGTGGTTCAGCACATGGGTGGCAACACCAGCTCAAAGTCAACTCATACTCCCATAGGAATCCAGAAATATAGGCTTTAATATGCTGGCAATAAGAATGAATTATAGTCCCATAAGGACTTGGAAATACAGGGGGTTTATATGCTGTTTTAATGGCAGAATTTCTGCAACTCTGCTGCCACTGGAAACAGTTCTGTGGCTCAGGCTGCACCACATCAAGTGCATTGTTACCTGAAAGACACCACAGGATCACTGGTGGTTTCTGCTGCTCTTCACTTACAAAAGTCCCAGCCCCTCACACGACACTATGATAAAACCATGCACCCTAGTTCTAAATAACTGAAGTGATTTTCCTCAGAAGTTGCTGATGCACAGCTTAAGAACACTGTTTGCCATGTTCCAGCTCGTAGTCCATCTAGCAAGGCTGCCTGATTGGCAGTGCCTCCATCCAGTCTCCCCTGCTGCCCCAGTGATGTCCAGTAACCAAAGCCACTTGGCACCCCAGCAACCACCCCCTCCCTGGCTGCTGGCACCCCCAGATGCCACCAGGGCTCTCTGCTGCCAGCTCACCTCCACTTCACCAAGGAACCAGCCCACTGAGTCTGAACTCACTGATGCTGCCATCAGCTTTACACTGAGCAGCATCACCTCATACCTCCTCTACATTTATTTTCCTCCACAATTACATGGAGGAAACACCCAAAGGATTTGGAAAATGCAGGCAAGCTAAGCCCCCTCAGCCACCTTTATCTGCCATTTTCTTGGCCTCTCAGCAAGTTACCAGTTACCTTCTCCTACAGGAGCTACTCCAGCCTGACTGTACCAGTCTGCACTCAGCTAAATTTTGTACAGTTCTGCTCTTAATCATAATGAATAAAAATTGAAAGCAAGCAGTTTTGTTATTACTGCTATTATTATTATTATTATTCATGGGAGACTTGTTTGATAGTCAAAAGATAGTCACTTCAAAGCTTTTAGAGAACTGTGCCACCTCCATTTCCATTAATCATCTTAAAAGCAACAGTAAAAGCAGATGAACTCTGCAGCAAAAGATGACTTCTACTGCAATGGCACAAGGTAAGAATTTTTCCCTCAGGCCCTCAGCTCCTCTCCCTTCCCAATCACAGATCACTTTAGCTTCACTTTGTGAAAATAAAGGTAGCAGATGCCCAATATCTTTTCTGGTGGAGTGGAAGATGACATGGCTGAACCCAGGCATCTGTGTTCCATGCTGAATTACAGCAGCATTATGTATGCAGAGAGGAGACACACGTTTGGGGGTGGGTGTTACGCTGCCACATGCCGCTTCAGTTTTGATCCACTGGCTTCATCAGTAAAGTGCTGTGTAGACTGAAGCTGTAACAATCTTCAGTGCCTGAAATCCCCTTAAGGCATCAGCCTCTGGGCTCTGACTTACCACATGGCGTGCATGTAGGTGGGAGGTAGACGAGGGCTGCTCACGGGGGTGCAGTTGTAGGATCTCATGATCCTCTCTGCCAAGAGAAAGTTACGGAATAAACTGGCCACGAGCAGGTCTTGCCTGAAAAGCTTCTGGAAAAGATCTGCCAAGAGATGGCATGAATTACCAGATGCACATTTTATAACTTAAGCACTTTAGGTAATATGCAAAAAAATCATTTAAAACATAAAAACATGTTACTGTTTTATTCCAGTGATAGTTTTGCATTGATATGATGTGACAACGCTCAAAAGGAAATCTTGCCTCCCAAGTGCCCTCAAAGCACCACGGTCACTCCCCATTTTACATTCACAGAATTAAATATTTCCTACCTCAGGTTCTTCTTTGTCTTTTCTGGGTAAAAATTCCCCTTTTGGTGTTTCAGTTAAACTCAGCCTGACTAAGGTTTTGGAAATTACTGAGGGAGAAAAGCACCTCTGTGTACTATTTAATCAGGAAGTATACCCCTGTTAACTGGCAGTTTGACGTGCCTGTGAGAAGCCAAAATGAATCCTAAAGACAGCAAATGTGCAATCTTCTATAGAGGCAAACAAGAATTGATGCTGCATGGAGCATTAGAAAGATCATAGCTGGAAAACTGTTTACAAATTTGGCCACCCATGTGCCAGAAGTACAAACTCAAAGCAGACCAGGGGTAGAAGAACGGGATGAAGTTGCTCATGGGGGTCATAGCCTGCCTCACCAGCAAAGAGGAAAAGACCCTTTAGTTACAATACTAACAAAGGCTGGAAGAAAATACATTGCTCTTTACAAATGCAGAAAGAAAGAAAATTATTCAAGCTAAAGCAATGACATTACAAATAGAAAAAACCTTCCCAGTTCCTAGTGAGCGTGTTGCCAAAACGCTTCAGGGAAAAAGAGCAAATTTTTAAAATTTAACTACCCTAAAGACCCAGTCTGGTCTGTTCTTTCAGTACCAGGGTTTAATTTCCCCCTTGTTCAGTGTCTCATTTATCTTAGTCTTCATCCTTCTACCCTGAAGAAGCAAGGCTCCCCTCTGGTGCCAGCCTGGCTAGGGCCAATCCTCACCTCTCGGCAAGACGTTCCAGGCGATGGTGTCTGTGATAGCGGTGAAGATCCAGTTCAGCTCTCCCAGGGGAGTCCTCCTGTCATTCAGCCTTCCAGGAATCCTACAAGTGCAAAAAACCCAACTGTTTCCTATCAAAGATGCCATTTTTTGATACACACACACACACACACACAAACCTCAAAGGTTCAATCAAGGCTCGTTAAAGACAGTACTTCCAGAATCTTAATTCTTACCCAAGCATTAACGTTGCTACACAAACCTTCCTTACCCAAAATCTATTATGTTTGAATTTTCTTGTGAGATCATAGAATAGAATTATAGAATCATAGAATTGATGAACTGCCAGGCAAAGGATGATAAACAAGGAATTATTTATAGGTAACTGAGTTAAAGAAAAACATCTGGGAAGACATCAAAGAGAAGATGGTGATTTCTGAAGTGCAATGGAAATGCCTTTTTCTTCAAAAGTGTCACCCTGCTTCATTTCATCCATTTTTCACTTCTTGATGAAAAGTTTAATAATGAATATTATTTACATTAAAAACTGCATGCTCACAAGCCATAACATCCCTGTGTAAGAACTTCTGAGTGATCATATTCCAGAAAAAAAAAAACCAATCCAAACTCTTCTCTTCTCTAACAAGTTTTTAAACATTAAAGGTATCAAAACATACTCCACAAAGGAAGAGCTCTCTCTCTGGCAGCTCGATGTTGACATGTACAGCAGCATTATTTCCATGCATGTTCTCCTGCATAGACAGAGTTTCTAAACCAACCAGAAATTAACATCTTATAAAAAAATTCCTCTCTGTCTTGATATCAGAGGAAAAATACCCATCTCTGGAACACTGTTTGTTAACTGATTCTCCAGAGCAAGCAGAGGGAACACAAGGCCACACAACTGCTCTGGTGAGGATTTCACATAAATATTTGCATTGCAGAACACCCTCTGCAGCAAAATAGCAGCGTTTCAGAAGTCAGAATGTTATTAATTAGGAACCAAAGTGATCTTGCTGAGATTCCCCAGCAAGCCAAATGCTGAGCTTAAACCATTCGATGGCCATTTGCAAGCCAGTTTTCAGTGGAAACAGAAATAGGGTGTTTCATGGTAGACTTCAAGTCTTTACAGCAGATGGAGAGTTCTGCACACAGTTCATAGTAAATTCTCTTTATTGAATGCAGACTGAGCTGATACAAGTCTTACTGATGGTATCAAGCAGGAAT